GAGAAATCGACCGGCGACCTCTGGAGCCCGACTGTCCGAGTAGCTCTACTTTCCTCTAGGTGCTCTAAGCTGCCGCTGCTGCACGCTTCTTCTTCTTCTCATGCACATGCTCATTCACGCCCATAGCTCTCGATTGCGAATTTACAAAAGCGTGAAGGAAAGTGAGGAAAAAGTCTCTATTCTACAGTAACCTTCTACCATAGCATAGATCCATCGTCCAATCGACGTGCATGCATTGCATTGCATAATGGCCGGACGTCTAGACGTGCGGTGAACCAGCACGCACGGACTAACGTAACGCCGTCATGTCCGTGAAGAGCGGTGAAAGTGCTGCGTGCCACACCGCCTGTTATGATGATTCGGTATGTATAGTATCGAGACTCGAGACTCGAGACTCGAAAGAGAGCGCCGACCCCTCCCCCCACCCCACCACACCCACGCAACGAGGGGGGGAATTGATTACTTGCCAGAGCTTGGGATCCATCTGCCCTCTGGGGAGAGAGGCGCGCAGGGGTATCCACTCTATTACTACACACATGTAGGCAGTGTGCGCTGTGATGATGTGCTCTCATTGGGGCCCGCGCCTCGTCATAGCTAGTGCCTGGAGGTTGCTGGCCTCCATAGTCCGGACGTCATCAACGTACGTCGGACGTCGACGTCGTTGTCAGCTGCATGAACGTCCGTCTAGACGTCGGTTATTGTACTCTACATATCACACGTCGCTTGCTGTATGTGTTACTGTATGTACGTCGGTTCGGTTTGCGTCCGTTGCGTCCGTCCGTTGCAACTTGCAAGTGGCGTCCGTTGTTTCTTTCGTTTTGACAGCGGCGGCGGTCATCTAAAACGAATGGTTCCTGGCCGCCACCCCTCCTCTAGATGTATGTAAACAGACGGATTCTAAACAGACGGATTCCAGAATCCAGCCTCTGCAGGCTTCAGTTCTGCCATTTTTCTCCATGCCACGATTTCGACTCGACGAGAGAGGTATGGAACGAACGGACGAACGAACGGCATGATTTACATAACTACATAGCGGTCCGGTAATCGTGTCAGACCGCTCCGCCGGATCGCGTATTCCGATCCGGTACCTATAAGTCGTCGCCATAAGTATTTCGACGATCGCCGGATTTTTGAATTTTTTTCCGTGGTGCAAGATGTTGGCGTAGTTGCGGTGGTGGTGGTGGTGGTGGTGGTGGTGGTTGTTGTTGTTATTGTTGTGGTGGGGCGTCGTGGTGGTGTGGGGTTGGTATTATGCCACAGCTCGGTGTCGTCCGTGCACTACTTGGTAGTGGGGGGGCACCGGAGCTATTATCACACTCCATGTCGGGGTTGGCAAGTTGCAAGTTGCAACGTCCACCCAGGGTACTGGGGCGGGCAACAACCAAAAAAAAAGAGCAGAGTCCAGCGCAGTCCAGCGCAGCCAACTCCGTCTCCGATTGGCCGGACCGAAGCAATCGGAGAACGCCAGCCAACAGGAGGCCAGGAGGCCAGGAGACCAGGAGACCGGGGAGTATTCGGCGGGCTCCCAAAGAAGTAAACCTTTGCGCCGTACCTACTTTAGCGGTCGCGAAGTTTGGGGAAGAAGGTACGGACAGCATGTACTTGGGATGGAGATGACGTCGGGGGAAAAATACCGAGACGTGGGGGGAAGGGCAAGGGGAAGGGGAGCGAAGGGAAGTGCATAGAGGCGAACGAATCATCTGCTGCGCCTGGAGGACCGTTGGATGGTGGATGGCCGAGGTGCGCGCGCGGTCGATGGATGTCCGTCGTCCGTCGTCCGTCGTGGAGACTGGAGTCTGGAGTCGAGTTCTGGATCCGCCCTTTGGGATTCTGGCAGAATTGCTCTGTGCTTCGAGTTTTGTGCTTCGTGCTTCGTGCGTGACCCATCCATCCATCCACATAACTACACGCGTGGGGGGGAGTCTGGAAGGGCAGAGGTTTCCGAGGAGAAAGAAGAGGAAACAGCATGCGGGTTTAGGTACTGTACTCCACTCTACCGAATCATCCGGAACCCCCCTCCCCCCCCCCTCCCCCCCGGACAGCGCGCACTGATGTTTCCCCATGCCGGCGGGACAGAGAGCATCATCAGTCCTGTATGTATGTACCGTATGTATGTACGTACGCACATACCATAATACCATACCAGACCGCGCACTTGGCTGGTCCGGACATGTCTCAACTCTCGATCGATATTCGCATCACGGCTGCTTGAGTAGGCAGACGCAAGCGTCATGAGATTTGTGCGACGAACTAGAATACTCGACCCAACCCATGCGGGAACTGAAGCGGGCCGGTTTGGGGAGGTCAAAGCCATACCGTACCTAGCCTGGAGGAAGGAGAGTGGGTGAGGTGAGTTGGTGAGTTGGTGAGTGCGTGGGAAAGGTTTGTACTGTACTGTACATACGGACCTTCATACACGCTCAAGACATACCTACAGTACCCACTCTGTATAGAGTAATCATGGGGGGCAGCCTCTGCGTTGTTGCGGGCAACGCTTTCATTAGTTGGACAGTGACTTGGACACTCTCGAGTCTCAGCTCCGACGAACGGTGGATTTGGATTTGGATTTGGGTCTCTGCGGTGAAGTCCGAATGTCTGTACTTGCCGATTCCAGGTCCTGCTGGTGCCAGGTGGGTGACCTTTCTCTTTCCCCTCTGCGCACCGCACAACGCTGCGGAATGCAAATCGCCTTGGCTGCTGTGGGCTGCATGCACAGGCTCGCTCGCTCGTCAGCCTGATGTGTGTTGAGATGGCGGCGCATCTAGGCAGCGTCGCGATAGTTAGACGCATGCCATGCGTGGTGGTGGTGGTTGTGGTGGCAGCAGGGTGTAGCCGAAAGCGCTAGGACGATCAGTTAGACGGCCACGGCCACGGGCGACTGGCACTCGACTCAACTCGAATCAACTCACTGGCACTCGTATGAGGCATGTATAGTATGTAGTATGTAGTGTACTCTACGCACGTCTGGTCTGTTTGCACTGCCGACACATAGTTACTTGAGTACTTTGTTAGGTACCTGTGTAGATGACGGCGTGAGGTACATACTCAGCCAGCCAGCCAGCCAGGGGATGTTGTTTGAGCCGATGGACGGTGGGGGGGATTATTGAGTAAGAGAAAGTCGGTAAATAGAGTGGTGAGCAGGGAAGGGGGATGAGGGAGGGAGGAAGCCTGAAGGGCAGGAGGTCATGTCCGACGATGTGGAGCGGACGTATGTACGTAGAATAGAGTAGAGTAGAGTACCATACATGGAAGCGAAGATCGCCCCAGTCCGGCGCTGCCTTCAGCTGTTGGTGATCAGTCTGCCACTGTGTTCCAGTCCAGGAGCCCACGACGATTCCGAGTGACTTCTCTGTGCAGCGTTGCGGGTGGGCCGGCTAAGAGTGCTGTGCGTGAAGGAACGAGCGGACGGATACCATGTGCTCGCAGCAGAGCAGAGTACTATAGGTAACCACGTGAGTGAGAAGACGAATGTACCGTATTCCCAAGTACTTTGGTACATAGCAGCAGGGATGGATATTGCGAGTATTGTTCGCTCGCTGTCCTGTCCTGAACTGTGTCCTGCGCTGTGTCCGTGTCCCTGGAGATGGGTCTGGGGAAGGGGACATTCTCCATAGAATGTTTTGCGAATCCCTCGCACACACATTGCACATTGCTCATTTCATACTGCACACTGCACAGTGCACACTCTCGACTCTTTCGAGCGAAGAAAAAGAAGAAGGACCCGCTCTGCGTGCGCCGTGCGCCCTCCCTGCTCCTGACGGACTGGCCGGGATGATCACCCCACGATCCAGCAGCCGAAAAAGCAAAGAAAACGAAACCCCCACGAATAATATGGGAGTGACCCGTAGCTGCGGATCCTTGGAAGTTGGTGCGAGAAAAAAAACTGCTTGGCGTAACTGTATCTCGACTCGACGCGTTGCGCTCAGCTCAGCTCTCGCACTGGCTGGCTAGCTAGGGAAGTACTCTACTTTGCCATGGCTGGAGTAAGAGCTCTTCTCTCCAACACCACCACCACCATCACCACCACCATCACCACCACAGTCGTCTGCGCCCTGCGTGCGGATGGTTGGGGCGTGCCCGGTGGCAGCAGCATCACCGCATCTTGTCGCAGGAAAAGAAGAAAAGAAAAGAAAACCAATTCGGATTCCGCACGTCGACCGCGCCCGCTAAATTAGTCGAGCTTCCGCAGGGCTTGAGACAGTGGATGTGTGTGTGGGCACAGTAGCGAAGGGAGATCCTGCCTGCTTACCATGTAGAGTACAGCTCGAAAGGAAAGGAAAAAAAGGCGAGCAGCACGGAAGGAAAATCAATCGGAAGGCTATCGCTGATCGTGACATCTCCACCTCCACCTCCACCATCTCCACCTCCATCACCTCCAGCACCTCCGTCACGATCACCACCACCCCCGTTTGTTGATCTCCCCCGGAAACGTCATGGACGTGGACGTGGACAAAACTCACCGAGAGAGAGAGGTACATACCATACCGACAGACAGCCACGAAACGAGACATCGCATGACAGCATGGCTGGGCTCGAAGCTCATCTGGGGATGCGCTCGGCAAGAGGGTCCCGTGGCCCTGTAGAGTTGATTACGCAAGGAGACAGGCACGTCCATTGGTCCCTCAGCGGAGATTCACTTCCGTCTGGCACCCCCAGACTGACTCGTCGACACGCCCGCCCCGCCGCCGCCGCCTCCACTACCACCTCCACTACCACCTCCACCACTGCGAGGCTTCGTTGGTAGGGCTTCAAGCTAGAGGTTTCCGAACAGGAGCTAGATCGAAATCCATATAAAGCTCCATCCCGTCCCCCAATCTAGGTTTTGTTTCTCCACACCCCATAGCGACATCTTCACGACATCCTCCATAAGCTTACAGTATCAACATAAAGACTACTCCCCATCATCATCATCCTCCTCGTCGTTCTACACCTTTTGTACCAGACCTCCTCCCCCTGCCCTCACTCCAAACAACCCCCCACCCAACCCAACTCCTAAGCAGATGCCTCCCCACACCAACGAGTCCGATATGTCGCTCAGCGGGCTGTCGATCCACGAGTCCGACGATGCCAATGGCACCTCCCGTTATGCCAACTCGCAGTACGTGGGTGGATTCGGCACGCCTTCGCGGCCACTGGTGCCGGGCACGTATGCACCGACACCGGCATTCTTCGACCCCGCCACCGACGACCTCGACATCGAGGTGATCAGGAAGCACGCTGTGCGGCTGGCGGAAGCTGGGCTGCAGGGCATCGTCACGCAGGGCTCGAACGGCGAAGCCGTGCACCTGAGCCACTCTGAGCGCCGCCTGGTCACGGCGGCGACACGCGAGGCGCTGGACAGCGCCGGCCACACGCACATCCCGGTGATCGTTGGGTGCGGCGCACAGTCCACCCGCGAGACCATCGAGCTTTGCCACGACGCGATGCTCTCGGGCGGCGACTACGCCATGATCCTGCCGCCGTGCTATTACCGGCCGCTGTACACGGGGGAGTCGCAGCTCGACTTCTTCCGCGACGTGGCCAATGAATCGCCCATCCCGATCCTGATCTACAACTTCCCCGGCGCCGTCGGCGGCATCGACCTGGACTCGGACGTGGTCACGCAGCTCTCGCGCCACCCCAACATCGTCGGCTGCAAGCTGACGTGTGGCAACACGGGCAAGCTCGCGCGCGTCGCCGCCGCCGCCCCCGCCGGATTCATGACCATGGGCGGCTCGGCCGACTTCACGCTGCAGACGCTCGTGGTCGGCGGCAAGGGCATCATCGGCGGGCTGGCGAACATCGCGCCGCTGGCGTGCGCGGCCCTGTTCACCCTGTACACCACGGGCCGCAAGGACACGGCGGAGAAGATGCAGGCGGTGATCGCGCGCGGCGACTGGGTCGCCATCAAGGGCGGCGTCGTCTCGACCAAGAGCTGTCTCAACTCGTACTTTGGCTACGGCGGGTTCGGCCGCAAGCCCCTGCCGCGCCCCACCGAGAAGCAGGTCGATGACGTCAAGGCGGAGTTCGAGGAGCTGCTGCTGCTCGAGGAGTTCCTGCTCGCTGGCAAGAGGGAGCAGGACGTCCACTCCGCTAGGGGCAAGGATTTCCCGCAGCTCTTGGAACTCGAGCGCATGCTCGTCGCAGACGTCTAGACTGCATCCCTCCCTGGTTCGGGGACGGGTACTCCCTGTGCAACCGTTGGTTACACACAGACCAACCTCTTCCATCTGCCACCTGCCATCCATCTTATGCTGCCACGGTGCGAGCACCTCCTCTTCCCTCACTCTGTGGTTTCGATCGATCATTCCTTTGTAAATATCCAGCGTCTCCGTGTTTCAGCGTCTCAGTGTTTCAGTGTTTCAGTGTGTCTCAGCGTTGCTTTTCCGCGTTTGTTTTCCGCATATGTTTCCTGTTTTGTTTTGTTTTGGTGTTTCCTTTCGGTTTCTATTTACTTTTTCGTTTTGTTTACTGTTTATTCAATCTATGATTTCTGGCAATGGGATAAAAGGGGATTCATCGGACAAAGTGTATGTATTGGGCGAGCATCCAACATTTCACATATCTACACCATCTTGCTTGCTTTGCTTGCTTTGCTTGCTTTGCTTGCTTTGCTTGCTTTGCTTGCTTTGCTTCTTTCGGTGCCTTTAACGTTTTCACATATCTACACCATCTTGCTTGCTTACTTACTTGCTGCTTTGAGCTCTTCCATCTGCGATTTTGGGCATTATGTTTCTCTTCTTCCTTATGATTGTGATTTATTTACTTCTTCCGCATGCGTTTCAGAGTTGGTTTTTGCTTTTTCTTTTCTTACGGTTCCGTGTTCATTCGTTAGGGATCCACGGGGCGGTTGCGGCTCGTGGGTTGTGGGATGTGGCCAAAAGGCATACAGGCGAAAAATTCCATCATATCATATCATATCGTATCATATCATATCGTATCAGATCAAATCGTAGCACACAAATCGTATCATACAAATCGAAGTCTTCTTCTGTCTCCGACACTTTTATGGTCCTGTCTGAAATTCGTTCTATCACACAATCAATGTTCTCATCAATTGTTCTGAAACACTTGTGGTCCTCTCTAAAATCCGTGCTGGCGGAAACTCTATCACATCATAGGTACAATCGAAGTCAACATCAACATCTTCTCCTTCTGAAACACTTGCAGCGGTCGTCCCCTCTGAAATCCGTGCTGGCCGATCGCTCTCGGTCTTAGTCTCGGTCCCGTCTCGTACCTACATAACCTGCCTATTCTATCCTATCCCACATATCATATCCCGTGATTACAAGTTCCAAGCTCGAAGCTCCAAGTTCCAAGTTCACGTTTCCAAGTTTTCATCTCCAACGAGCCACACCACGCAGCCACGCAGTCATGTAGCCACGCAGCCACGCAGGACATGAAACGCAACCACGCAGGAAACGAAGCGGACCGGACAGCGGGCCGGGCAAGTGACTGGCGATGGGGCTGGGCTCGTTGTCGCAGCTATAGTAGGTACGCTTCTCGCTCGATTCGATTCGATTGTTTCGATTGTTTCTCTCTCTCGAGCTGTGGGCCCGATGGTCGTGGTCGTGGCTACGATACCTATCGTACGGCGCAGTAGAGCAGGTGTGATATAGAGGAGGTGTTAGAAGGTGGAGCTGACTTAGTTAGTACTATAGAGTGAGTAACCTCCGTCCGCATCATCAACATCGTCAACGCAACTCCGATACGATATGTACAACACCCAAGTATGCACACTTCGGTATACGGTACGGTTCCTATACCTGCGTAGCGAGCGAGCGAGGTGTGGAGACATCTCTATGGTTAGGTTAGGTTAGGTAGGTTATGCGGTTCCAACGTGTGCGTGCATGCTGATTCAATTCTCCGTGCCCCCTCCCGGCGCCGATGGGATTTCGTGATCGGGGCTTGTGTGCGTGCTTGCTTGCTGGGTGTGTGATGTGGGATCAGGATCCGGGAGTCGAAAGCACTCTACATACTAGTTAGTCGGTTGGTTAGTAGTTGCATCGTGAATCGTGATCGCGAGACCATAGTCCATCCGGGCTGGCTGGTTGACTGGCTGGTTGACTGGCTGGTTGACTGGCTGGCTGAGCCACTTGCGCTCGGCGCGATCGCAGGCGGTAACGGCTGTACTCTGTCCATACCGGTAGAGTGCGTACAGCTCGCTCGACGACGACAACTCGATTAGCCCCCCGCCCGCCCCCAGCGGAAATTTTCTCCCTCTCCCTCTCCCCCTCCCTCTCTCTCACTCTCACTCTCACTCTCACTCTCACTCTCACTCTCACTCTCACTCTCGCTCTCACTCTCGCTCTCACTCTCACTCTCTTTCCCGTCACTTCCTTCCTTCCTTCCTCATCCTCTCTCCTCTCGAGTAGGATCGCACCCGCTATGTTATGTAGTTAAATAGCTATTACGCGAATGAATCCTCGGTCGATTGAGATGGCGGGAAACACGTAGGGCTACCTATATAGTATATCCATAGTACCTGCTTGAGTAGAGTAGCTAGTTCGCATGTGCTGGCTCGTCTGCACATGGCGGTCTTCCCCGGATCGTCATCCGCGGCGGCGTTTGTTACGCTGATGGGTACTGGCGCAGACTGGGTAGACGGTGGTAGGTACCGTACGACAGCACGACAGCTGCGAAATAGACTATTCGCTGGTCGCTGGTTGGTTGGCTGGTCGACTGACTGGATGGCTGGTTGGCTGGCTGGCACTCGTTTGCCAGCGGCCAGCGGCCTGCCCCAAATTCCAATGCGGTGGGATAGGTCGAGATGGCGCCCCCGTCCGGGCCGAGGTGAAGGGAGGGGAGGCGGCGGCGACGGCTTCGCTTGGGAGTGGTCGACTACGGTAGGTACTCTAGGTAGAGTGTATAGAGTACCGGTAATGCGGTATTTCGGTTCCGTGTGGATGTGATTGGCAGCTGTAAAGTAAGTGCTCGACGGCCATTGGCGACGGGTGATGGGTGATGGGTCGGTCAATCAGCGTTCGATGGGTTGTGCAGTCCAAGACGTTTTGGTCCCCGTTGACACATCGATCCATCCAGAACGACGTCATCCCGTCGAGATCAGCAGCGGCTAGTCTCCCCGCACCACCACGACGACAACCACGACAACGACGAAGACAACCACGACAACGACAATAACGACGACAACAACAAAGGACAGACAGACAGACAGACAGGCATCGACGATTCGGCTCCGCACACGAACCGCCATTGACAATGCCTATCCTCCATCAGCATAGTTACGACTAACTACTAGAGTCCAGCAAACCCGCGGAATAAATCAAAAACTGGCCAGTTTCTCGATTATTCCGCGAACCCCAAGTCTCGTGCGTCTCGTGCTTGACATCACACCTCATCTACCCCGCGCACTGTGCAATTTACATACTCCATACTCTACGCAGTACTGATCTCGAGCTCCTGCAGCGCCGGTCGAGGTCGAGGTCGAGGTCTAGAAATTCCACGGCGGCGGGGCGGTGGTGGTGGTGGTGGTGGTGGTGGTGGTGGTGGTGGTGGTGGTGGTGGCTGAAGCATCTGGCCGGTCTTGCCCTGCCCTGCCCGCTGATTGGGCGTCTACTCGGTTCCTGACAGCTGTCATGCAGTAGTTGGCCCGTCGTGGTCCAGCTTTCAGAGCCGTGCACGGATGGGAGGGGGGCGGCCTTACCTTTCCCGCCCGCCCTCCCTCCCTCCCTCCCCTGTCGCCTGGTCACTGGGTATCACGAGGGAACGTTCGATTGTAGAATTCGAAGGGCCCAGCCCCCCCTCCCCGCCGCTCAACGGCCTAGAACTTCGGTGCAGGGTTATGTCATCGTATGCAGAGGAAGCGGAGTCGAACCCACCCCGCCGACCCCCGTAGCCTATCGCAGTGCGCCGTGCTCTCGGCGCCCCTCACGAAAACAAAAACCATGCATCTCTCGCATCTACCCTTCTGCAGTGAGATTCGTTCTGCCGCAGGAAGCTGCGGCGCGGTGATATCATTCCCGTCGTCCGTCTACCTACGTCGTCATCGTCGTCGTCCGTCGTCCCCTGCCCCCTCCCCCGGGTCGGCAGGAGCACTCTGACCACGCCGCCGCGGCCGAGGGCTAGACGCTGCCCCACCCCCCCCCTCCCCACCCGACCCCAACCCCTCATTTCGCAAAGACATTTAAAGCTAGAGCTCCAACTGCACTGTACATAGGAGCAGAGCAAGTCGTTGTCGAAATCGGTTTTCACGAGAGCAATCGGAACCCAAACCACCCCAAACCACCCCAAACCAGACCAATTCAGACCAAACCGGACCAGACCAGACGCCCCGGAGATTTCCAACATCTGCAACTGCAACAGACAGACAGACAGACAGACAGACAGACAGACCCCTGCGCCCGCGCGCGCGCGAGCCCACTCGGCAAAACATGTTGTACTTACATGCTTCATTCATGCCTTGCGTTACAGTACCGCATATCGTTGCCAGACCAGGTCGATCCCACAACCCTGGCTGGACTTGCTCCTCCACCTCCTACCCGCGCAGCAGCAGCAGCAGCAACGTCGATGTCGACGAGATACCTATCCAAGCCAGCCCCGGTCCGCGCGAGTCACCCATGCGTGGCAACGAGCGAGAAGGAGGGTCTTGCGATGTTTGACGTTGGCAATTGACAGTTGGCATTGGGAGGGAAGGACGGCGGGAAAGGGAACAGAAGTGCGAGGGGTACACGGGTCGGAGATCGGAGATCGGGAATCGGAGGTCGCGGGTCGGAGGTCGCGGGTCGGAGGTCGCGGGTCGGAGGTCGCGGGTCGGAGGTCACATCGTTTCGCCCCCGTGCCACACGACCACACGAGGTCGCAGCGAAATCAAACCAGGCGCCAGGACGAGGAACATACCCCCACCCATCACATACTCACATACCGCCCCCCGGACTCAGAGATTGCAGCCTGATACTTTGCAGCAAAGCATTCGACAAGTCCACGCTCGAGTCCTCTGCTCGGCTCCCCACATCGTGACCTCCGTTTCGTGCCTCTTCTCCTTCTTCTCCTTCTTCTTCTTCCCCCTTTTCGGTCCAGAACCGTCCCGAGGCGATCGAGGTGGATGGGCGGACAGTCTGACGTTGAAGCTAAAGAGTCCGTCTTTCCATCCACCCATCGTGTCTTGGCAGCGAGAGGGGGGGCTGATGTGTCTGCGCTCAGTCACTCACCCCACCATGCCTCACCGCACTGCCAACCGGCGCGCGATACCGTCATTGCACATACACAAAATCATCCGATAACCACCTAAGACAAGACACTTTAGCCAGGGTGAAAAGGAACAATGTCTTCCGTTCGTTCCATGTCGATGCATCGATGCATCGTGCGTTTGCAACCGCCGTATGTATGCACAATACACTACATACAACATACTTCTACGTGGTTGGTTGGGTGGATTCGCGATTTGAGGCTAGGTAGGTAGGTTGGGTAGGTTGACTTCGTTCCACCCAATCGCGAGCTTTCCCCCCCCCCGCCCATCTCCCGTGCGACAGGTTTACACGAACGAACGAACACAAGCCCGAGAGATCGAGGGAGGTCGACCCAACTCCAACTCCAACTCCAACTCCTAACCCAACCTCACAGACGACGGGGACGGATTCGGAGGGGGACGAGGGGGGACTTCTGCAGGGCCTCAACTCAGCTCAGCTCGGTGTGGTGACTTACCGCTTTCTCGTCTCCACAACGCAGTAATAGTTACTACGGTATACTATAGGCTTTCCGTTGCTTGTGTGTAGGTAACCAACCGCGAAGGATATCTTATCTATCGGCACCCCATACCACCTAGTATCTACACGTGCGCACGTCTCCGCCGCCTGTGCCTGCCTATCTCTGCCCGATGTCTCAGACTCTCAGGCGAGCCTTCCCTCCCTTCCGGTCAGCCTGCCCACCCGCTCGCTCGCTATCTTGTTGATTTTTTTTTGTTGAAACCCGAAGAACCCGCTTCCCCCGGCCGATTAACCAAATCACCCTGGCGCCCGGCGCCAGGGTGGTGGGGCTCGGGCTCTGCGGGTGGACTGGGCTGGGTGGGCTGGGTGGGCTGGGCGGTCCGGCTTGTGGCCGGTAGCAGCTGTTGAATCATAGCTTTGACCAACTAATATTCTTTCCTTTTTCTGTTTTCGGGGTTTTTGCTTTTTTCCTTTTTTGTGGTTCCGATCCTTCCTTCGTTCCGTTCGTTGCGGTGTTGCTTGCTTGCTTCTTCGGCGAACTTTGGCGAACCTTGATAGCTTCGCGCCCTCCGACTCTTCGAGTATCAGCCGGGGTTTGCTCGACAACGTCATGCTTCCGAATGCCTCGTGCCGGGGGCTGACGACAGCACGGTGAATGGCAAGGCAAGGCTCGACTCAATCCGATCAGATCAGATCAGATCAGATCAGGCTGAGACCTCAGAGTTTCAGACACCCGCCTCGCCCGCCCGCCTCACTCGCCCGCCTTGCTCGTGCTATGTTTACAGTACACGCGGCCTAAGAAGGAAAAAGGAAGGAAAAAAGAAGACTCTTATCAGTGAGTAGGTACTTTCAGGTAACTACCGTACCTACGATACCGGTATTTGCTTTTTTAACACTTGCAAGATGCCCGGATGGCGAGACACCCAACGCAACAACACAACGCAACAGACAGAACAAAATAATGCCCTCGCCCGTACGAGTACAATACAACAGGCAGGAAGCGGCGTCCCCTCCGCACTGCACTCTATGTACGAGCACATACAACAGCTGCAACAACCCCGCGGCGGGAGGCACGCAGGATCACTCGCGTCTTGGCGATAACGACCCCCATGCCCGCGAATGGGGAGGCGGGGCTGGCCGATTGTACGATAGGTACTCTATCTACCCAACTCCGGCGCAACACGTTCCGGGCCGTGAGCAGAAAACATGCCCTCGTTCGTTCGACCTGCCCCGCCATGAGCAATTGCGACTCGCGAGCAAAACTGCGCACTTCGGGGGTCAGCCTTCAGGTCTGCAATATGGATTGATGGATTGTGTGTGCGAATCGCTTCGAATCGCACCGCATTGGTTGGTCGGACAACACTGTCGTGGTCATACCCACCGTACCGGTATGTACCTATTGGTTTCTTTCTTCCCGCAACGAATCAGAATCATATTCGGTCGGCGGCGGCGGAGTCTGTGGCTCTTGCTTCCAATTGCTTACTTGCCCGCTCGTTCGTTCGGTTGCTGTTGTCCCCAGGCATGTACCGCCGATACCGCTGTAGATATGTGCCAATCAGCGGCGGGTAGCCACTCGACACGCTAACTACCAGATGCCATTTATTTCTTCTGAATGCGTCGTTAGTTAACAAGTACATGTTAGTTCGGGTTCGATTGCGGGGGAATAATATCGTCTCCATGTACTCTGCATACATACGAGTACATATCTACAGTGTGCGGTGCGGTGCGATAAGCTCCCCCCAACCAACGTGCGATTCGGCTTCTTCCCGAACCCCTGCGATTTCAATTGCAACTGCAACTGCAACTGCAAGACCGAACATACCGACATAACACAACATGTATTTCCCGCAAGCCGAGCGAGCGACGAACCTGAACGTATGTAACGTATGTACGGCCCGTCCGCCCTAGTCCCGCCCGCACAAGCACAAGCACAAGCACAACCCCCTCACCAGCGAGCGAGCGAACGAATCCATGGCTGCCGCCTCACTGGCGGGAAGGTTATTTTTCACCCCCATTCCCATCACAAAACGAACGAACAAAACACATTAACAATACGACAGCTTCCGGCGTGCTCTCCCCTCTTCCCTCTCCCTTCCTCTCGAGGCGGTCGCTCCGCATGACTCCCCCTCCGTCATGGGGGCGGGGGGGATGTTGGTTGGCTCACAGTCTGTGCGGGTTTATGGTGTGGGTGTGGTTGTGGCTCATGCTCATGCTCATGCTCATGCTCATGCTTATGCGGTCGAGATCATGATACTTACTAACTCACTAACTGGCTACATAACTGACTAGTAGCATACGGTAGCATACGGTAGCATACGGTAGCAACTGTGTCGTCCACAACCACCACAACCACCACAATGCGGGATCTTCCAGAAGCCGTCAAGCACATACATATGATACATGTACTGTACTGTGGTGTGCTGTGCTGGATAGTGCTGTGCTGTACTGGGCAGCCACCTCGGGCGTACCAGCAATTCTCTGTCTGTTTCTGTCTGTCTCAGGCTCTCAGATGATATGGCTGGGAGGGTGCAGCAGCAGGAAGGTCAAACTCAACTCAACTCAACTCAACTCTCGCTTTCAAGTTTCGATCGATATCCTTGGTATCTTTGCCCTTGCCCGACCAGCAAAGCAAAGCAAAGCAGAGTCGCTCTCGATCGATTGATTGCAGAACACTGAAGAGAAAGCGTGTTGCTTCGAAGGTGGAAGCCTTACATTACACGCAAGCGTACCGCGTACCACCTGCTGCCTCTGCTTCTACCTCTGCTTCTACCTCTGCCTCTGAGCGAGCGTGAGGTTTCGATCAGGACCGGACTGTGCGGCGGCAGGAACCTAGTGATGCAGGGGACGAGGGGGGACGAGGGAGCCCGGTGGATGTACAATACCCAGTGGACAACTCATCTGCCCTCTACCAGTACGGTGCTCTAGCTTCGAACAACCTGAGGTCGAGAGCGAACGTGAGCCACACCACCACCGCTGCTGAAACCACTTTCCTCGACAGACAGACAGACAGACCGCCATCATGCATGATGTGTGAGGATAGCCCCACCCCCTGCAACCTACGTAACACTTCGTCTTGCGGATCAAGCGATTGCTCGTGATCGACCGCAGGTCCGCAGGTTCGCAGAGCAACTTGGCTGCTCCTGCACCGAGAGAAGGGGGAAGATCGAAGCAGTCGGCCGGCAGTCTTCACCTTCACCGGGGGCTGGTTCGCAATTCCTTCGTTCTTCGTTGTGTCCTTTTCAAAGTTTCCTTGGTTCTGCTCTGCTTCTGTTGTCAGGAGCGTGGGGACACAGACACAATGTACCGTAGTTACTGTAATGTACTTTACGTATCACACCGCAATTGAAACTTGAAAGGTCACATTGCCGTAACTTTGTACGAGCGGACTTGTCCGAATCCGAATTTGAATCGACACTCTTCATGAAGAGATCATCAATTGAAACCGTGCGGTGGTGGTGGTGGTGGTGGTGGTGGTGGTCTGTAGCAGGGGCTGTAGGTAATACCTAGGTGGGTCGCATTGATCTGCGAGACTGCGAGACTGCGAGACTGCGAGACTGCGAGACTGCGAGACTGCGACGTCCCCGCTCCTGTCCGCCCGCGGCCCAAGTTCAAGTTCAACTCAACCCCCGTCCCTCGCTGTCATACCTACACATGCCATACTATGCAGGTTTCCCTCCCTTCCTGCCTTGCGAGAAGAAGCAGACGTTAAAGAAAAAACCTGCTCAAGACCCTCGACGTCTAAGCCCACCCGATCCGTGAGTCCGTGACGAGTGATATTCTACGTAACGTGGGGGGATGAGATGTCGGCAATTAATCCTAGGTACTCTAGAGCACTATACCAAGAGCAGAGCAGAGCAGAGCAGAGCACCAGTGCATCTCCCGAACGCAGGTCAAACTTTCAGTAGCGAGGCGAAGCAGCAGCAGCAGCAGCACAGCAAAGCACGAGTGCCGGCGCGGGGACGGGGGCGAGGACGGGGGCGAGGACGGGGGCGGGGACGGGGGCGATCCTAAGACTCCGCGGACTGTGGCACTGTGGCAATCCGCGGGTGGCGTAGACGCCCAACGATCGCAGTCGAGACCGCAGCATGGCATGCACACTGTGTTTTGTGGTGGGGGGTGGGGCGGAAAGCCACAAAAAAAGGAAAGAAAAAGAAGAGAAAAAGAAGAGAAAAAAGGAAGAGACCGTCGGTCTCGGATGGATGGATGGATGGATGGAATGATACACTGTAAGTACTTACCAACGTACAAGCCTACCTTGTAGATGATAGGTAGAATGCCACCAGCGAGAAGGCCCACATCTCTCCGGCTCCAGCGCGTTGCTGCGGCCAGCATTGGCCTGGATTCCTGGCTTGCGGGCGGGGCGTCGAGGATCCTGCTGCCCGGAGACAAACTTCGGGCATTTGCATCCGGGTTCTGGCATGGTTGGACTACGGTACGGTGGTACTGTATGGCCACCAAAGTGCCCGTCGTTTCCTGCTGGCTCCGCTGCTGCGGGAGGAGTGCTCGAGCTGTACATAGCGGGTGGCGTTTTGCATCGGTGGCGGAAGCGCGGAGGATCCTACTGCTGGGCCGGAGCCATAGGCCCGTAGCGGGTGGCGCGCAAATAGGTGGGGTGCGTGTGGACCTACCTATCTACCGTGCCAGTGCCAGCATCAGCACCAGCAGCACATCGCGGTAACCAAGTGGACTGTGGCGGAAGCAGAAGTAGCCTGGCTCACCCATTCGCGCTGCGCGGAAGTGGCTTTGGTCTGGGCGTGCGCTGAGATGTCACTCGACCGCGTGATGGCGTGTGATGCTTTGTGCGAGCCCCTCAGCACCCGTGAACAAATATTTCTCGCGTACGAAACTGGGTAAGTACTTATGTAGATAAGTAAGTGCTATGTAGGACGGATTTGGGCTCGTGCCTCGGCCCGTTGAATGGCTTCCTTCCGTCCCCATCGGTGGATAAGCTACCCAGGCTTGTTTTTTCTTCTGCCGAATCTCAACCCGAGTCCTCAATCCATCACTCGCGCTTTCCGTACCGGTACCCAAGTGGTCACCACACTTCGCTACAAAATGTCTTCCCTTTTTTTCCTTCTGATGCGGATATGTTGATATACATGTGAACGCTATTTCGCCCCACGTTCGTTGCAAGATAATCGGTCATACGTTGTGGGAAAACGAGTGCGTGTATCCTGAATATGTTACAGGGTCTAATTTGTGAACTACCTATACTATAATTGACTGGCTATTGGTTCGGTGGCACACTTGGTTCTGGGTACTTTGCTAACCGAAATTGAGAGGTGGGTGGTTGAGGGGAGGGGGAAGTGCGCAGGAGCCTGGAGGTGATGGATACATAGAGGGGGAGTGCTATGGGGACGACAGTGTTGTGGAAATATCACCCGACTGCTTAGTCATTGTAGACAGCACGCGCCTCGGGATGGGAAAGGTGCTAGTGCGGCGATGAGGGGAGTTGGCTGGGAGTGGGCGTGGAAGAACCGCGGAGGTGCGGTCGGAAGGGTGCGGATATGGCCTGGGAGGAAGAATGGCCGTGTCAGGCGGATACCACTCGACACTTACCCCGACCCTTCGAGTGCTGCGAGTATGAGCTACACCAGCACTATTGCCGTCGCAACCATCACCAGCACACGTTTGCAAAACAGATAAAACGACAAACGAAGAATGTACGCATGAGCAGACTAGTTTCTCCGGGCCGGCAAATCAAGTATGTTCAAAACTCCCAACTATCTTATCGTTCCGGCTCCTCCCCCAGCAGCGCCGAGAGTACTTCGTACGAAGATTTATACCTATTCCACTATCAGTCTCATATCTCCTCTCGGGGGTCCTCTCAAAGGTGCATACCACTGCCCAGCAATCTCCCTATCCGCCTTCCCCGCCTCGCGAGCGCCCTGCCTGGCCCTAACCGCCTCATTCGCGAACCTCTCGAGGCCCTCCTTCTCCCTCTCCCTAGTGACGATCTCCTTCTCCAACTGCTCGACCTGCTTCTGCCTCCTCGGTATAGCCACACCTAGCAGACTCTTCAACTCGCTCTGCAGCATCGCCAGCTCGCTCTCCGCCGCCCCCACGTACTGCAGCGTGTCGTCCAGCGGAAGGTTCATCTCGGGCCTGTCGTCTGCCGCGCCGCGAAGCGTGGCGATCTCCGCCCGCATCGTCGCTGTCTCCGCAGGCAGCGAGCGCGCTTGCTTGGCCGTATTAAGGAGGCGCTCGTATGCTGTAGATAGCTCATGCGTTAGCGCACCCTTCCCCCTTCCCCACCCCCCTCTGACTCGAAAACCTACCCGGCGCCAGCCTCGCCCCGACCTCATCGATCTCCCTGAGAGTCTCATCGACCTTCTTTTTACACCTCTGCAAACTCTCTTTCGCGCTCTTCAGCTCCGCCTCGCGCGCGGCGTTCTCCTCGGCCTCGTGGATCTTCGGCGGCTCCTCGGTCACGTAGCGCAGGAACTTCTCCTTCGTCATCTGCTCGAGGTACGAGAACCGCAGCTGCGAGAATAGCTCCTTATAGTGCTCCAGCTCCGTGCAGAGCGTGCCTGGGTACGTGGACACCGCGCGCGTGTCGTCATCAGAGTTGCCGGCGTCGTAGGGGAGGGAGGAGGGGGGTGGGAAGGATTCGATGGATGAGGTGAGCGTTTGCAGGGTGAGGCGCGCGCTCTCGAGTTTGCTGAGGACGCTGGGTAGGTCGTTTGTGGCTGCTGGTGGGGGTGAGGGCGTGGCCATGGTGGCGCGTTGTGTTGCGGAAGTCTGGGAGACGCGATGCGGCGGACGCGATCGGTTGTTGGGTGGGCGGGAGGGTCCCCCTGCTCCGATTGTCAACGCGCTAGCTCATCGATTACCATCACCGGTCCCCGGCAAGACACGGGAGGCCAATGGACGTTTCAGTGGGGGCGCGGTTACCTCACGAGAGACTGAATCAAGGCTTAAGATTTTCTTCTTGGAAGAGCTGTCCCCTTGGAAGAATAACTACAGATGGGCTTGGAAGTTGGAGTGTGCTTGGAACAAGTATCTACGAGTGCGGGCTCCAAAGAAGGGTCACGGGTGGGCTTGGAAAAAGGACCCTTGGAACATCTACAGCACCGTGAAAGTGTCTGCCACTCTATGTATGTCTACGCCTTGTCGAGAATGAAATCGCCGTGCTAACTACCTACTACATAGTAATTATGCCTGCGCAGCTGCAGCCTGCAAACCACAGGAACGGTGCCCTCCGAGAGTGCGGTACCGTTGGCTGATACCCACCGGTACGTACACTGCACCGGGTATTGCGGGCGCGGTATAGTAGGTACACACCACTACCGGTATCCAGGTACCGATTCGGTCTCTTTGCGACGAACGAGCTGGACTGGAGACTGGAGACTGGTAACTGGAGTTCGCCTCCTCCGCCGAGGTGCCAAGAGCGCTTCCACCAACGGCCATTCCTCGCCGCTCACTCGAACAGCAATATTGCGCTCGCAGCTCCGCTTTTGGTCGGGGAGGGGTGCGCCGGTTGCGTGTGGAAGGTAGGTGGTGAGAAGTGCGTCCCTGCTCAGGTAGGTAGGGGAGCATCACGGAGGGGTGATTCGATGGCAAGCAGCGGACCGTGGTGCAGCGATCGTCACGCGTACACACAGACTGAGAACGAACTACCAGCTCAAGATGGGCCATCGTCTGCTTACGTCGCCCCCTCGGGGCTCGAAAAGAGGCAAAGCGAGTACCGTATGTAGTGCTGCTGCTGCTGGTGGTGCGGGGAGTCCAGCTCCGAGAGAACCTCTTCAGGAATCAGGATCCGCACAACCTGGAGGGAGGGCGGGGCGTCATGCCGACTGAGGCGAGAAGGGGTAAAGAAACACAGATACGCACACACCAGGTGCCTATATCGGAATTGTCAGTTGTAGGGACGTCTAGCCAGGCTCTTGGACTTCTGTACGGACGCTGCACGTACTGTCGGCAGAATGGCCCTACCTAGTTACTGTTGGGAGGGCCACCAGGACGGAATGTGGTGATTGTATCGTCAGAGTAGCCTGGGAGGAGTAGGAACATAGGGAGGGGGAGGTGGAAGTTCTCCTCCATCGCCGTTTGCTGAACAAGGTGGATTGTCTGGTGAGGGGGACTTGAGGGAGCCAGCGTGCCGTTCCCTCGGGTTACAAACGCATATTTAGCTGCCATTACCTAAAGTAGAGCACACACGTCGTACCTGGTAGTTGGAATGCAAGCAAAAACCGACTCCCACTTCGTTGCCGAGCAGCCACCACATGGCCTGTGCCTCCAAGTAGAAGCGAAATCCTCCAAACTCTTCACCGGACGCACGAACCACCGTTCATGGCCAGCTGCGTTTGCTCCCACCTGGAACGTGATCCTGCCAACCATTTCCGACGGGACAAACCCAGCAGTTCGAAATCCGCAGGCGCACGGCGGGAGTCGATCGTCCGTGGACAGAACGCTGAAGACATGCATGTATGTAGAATCCAGATATTCTTCCAGCAGTGGATAGGTACTCTGGATTAGGGTTAACTACATACACGCATGCCGGGAGGACATGTGGCGATACTTCCAGATGCGGCACGATTAGGGTTCCGGAAAATCCACCCCGTCTCTGCTGCCGCATCGCATCGACTACACATGTACCGGTATGATACATAGTGGATCAATCCCGTCTGGCACGACCCGAGCTCGCTCAACCCCGCATTATAGTCGCATTTATATTACTGCTTGGGGAACTTGTCCCGTACAAAAAAAACCCCAGATGTCAAGTGTCCGCATGTCGATCGGTGGGCAGCCCTCCGAACCCTGCCACACATGTACGTACATACTTAGGCACGTACCGGTACCGTGCACGCATACCATGCATGGCTTATCGACGCGGACCCGGGAAGATAACCATTCTTCGGCAGTGATGGAGATGAGGAGGAGGATGAGGAGTATATTAGGTACATATATAAAATCCAGTTTCTGCGAGCGATGGACCGGAAAAAAATAATCAAAATCCCCATCAACGACCGACCGCCGATCGTCGGCCACCGATTCGTGCCAGCTATGGATCAGTATCTCAGGCTCCCGCCGCCGTACGTGCTGTACGCCATCTTCGCCTCCATCGGGGGTTTCATCTTTGGGTGAGCAGCGAGCTTCCCTCCCCGGCCGGCCGCGGGCTCCAATCCACAGAGGAACCGACTGACTTTGCCTCCGCAGCTTCGACACGGGCAGCATCGGCCCGATAACACTGATGCGACCATTCCAGCGGTCGTTCGGCGTGCTGTCACCAACGATGCAGGGCCTCTTAGTCTCGTCGATCCTTCTCTCGGGGGCGCTCGCCTCCTTCTTCGCGGGCTGGCTGTCCGACCGGCTCAGCCGGACCTACTCCATCTCCCTCGGAGCAACCGTCTTCGCCGTGGGCGCGGCACTGTGCGCCTCCGCGCACACGCTCGCCCAGCTGTTCGTCGGCCGCCTCGTCTGCGGCGCTGGCGAGGGCGTGTTCATCTCGTGCGTCGCCGTGTACGTGCTCGAGATCGCGCCGGTGCGGATCCGCGGCACGGTGGCGTGCATACTGCAGCTGTTTATCACGCTCGGAATCATGATTGGGTATTTTGTCTGCTACGGGTGCTTGCAGGTCACCACCAGCATGGCATGGCGAACACCGTTCGTCATGCAGACCGTCTTTGCCGTCGTACTGGCCCTGGGGTCGCCGTATATCGCCCACTCGCCCCGCTGGCTGCTCTTGAGAGGCCGTCGACCGGAGGCGGCTCGCACACTGGTTAAGCTCGGCATTGGTGAGACCGAGAGGGAGGAGCTCATGCAGCACGCGCTGAATCCTGATGAGAAGGCCGGCGGGTATAGAGCCGCTTGGGGGAAGGATGTGCGCGGGCGGACGGCGCTGGCAGTTTACATGTTTGCACCCCCCCCCCCCCCGCGATGGATGCATACCGAGGAGCTGACGGCTAATCAACGATTGCAGGCAGGCAACCCAGAACCTCTCCGGGATCGACGGGGTGCTCTACTACGCGCCGGTCCTCTTCCGGCAAGCGGGGCTGGAAGCCGAGAAGGCCGCGTTCCTTGCCTCGGCGATCACCGGCGTGGTCAACGTGGTGTTCACGGCGGTAGCGCAGATCTTCGCAGACAAATGGGGGCGACGGCCGACGCTGATCGTTGGCGGGCTGTTAATGGCGGTGCCGATGACAGCCATTGGCGCGATATACGCGCACCCGACCGCGTCGACCACGCACGGCGGGCAGTACACAGTGATCGCGCTGATCATGGCGTATTTCATCGCGTTCATCATGTCGTGGGCGATACTGATGCGGATCCATGTGAGCGAGGCGCAGCCGGTGCGCACTAGGGCCAGCGTGTCGAGTCTGGCGCAGTGCGCGAATTGGGTCGTTAACTGGGTCGTCGCCTTCTCTACCCCCATGTTCCTCGATAAGAGCCCCAGTGGCCCGTACTTTCTCTGGGCCGCGAGCATTTGGGTTGCTGTCGCGGTCATGGCCGTTTATCTGCCGGAAACCCGCGGCAGGGAGATGGAGCAGTTTGATGGCAAGGTCAATAGCAGCTTGGGTAGGTGGGTGAAGGGCTTGATGGAGCGGAGGATGAAGAGTGTGGCCTGTGTGGGATCAGGCCCCGGGAGTGTGCTGGCTGTGGGGGATGAAAAGGAGCAGGAGTTGGAGTTGGAGAGGGTACCGACGGCGAGGGGAGCGACAGTAGTAATAGTAGTAGCAGCGGGGGACGGGGATAAGCGGGAATAGCTAAGGGGAGAACGAATGGCAATGATCCATGACCGTCAACATGCGCGGAGGAGGTGCAGTCCGAGTGATGCAATGTGATGTGGTGTTTACGCAGCCGCCGAGAAGCAGTAAAGGCAACCAACCGGGCTTGAGATCACCGAGTCAACGATCGAGGCCAGCTGTGACTCTTCCGGAGAATACCCAATAAACCTGGCGCTTCGTCGGCATGGTGGATCAGTCCAGGCCTCACTGGGTAAACAGTGACTCCCGGTTGCTCCTGATCGTTGGGAATACACCTTCCTCCCTCTCAGCCAGTATATAACAATGTACACAGACAGTCTAACAGCTACGGTCATAGAACCATGAACACACGGCTTCCCGTCCGCTCAGCCCTAGTTAAGCATGGTATCGCCAGGTTAGTACTGCAGTGGGTGACCATGCGGGAATCCCTGGTACCGTAGTTTTTTTTCCCTACCTTTCCTTTGATTTTGGGGTTTTTTCCTCAGCTTCTGTCTTTCACACTCCCATTGTATAGTACCGTCTTTCCGGGTTGTGGTTCTGGCTCATTCCATTCCAAGCCGTCCCGAGAACGGCGCGAACGAAACGTTGCGGTGGGCAAGATGGATGCAATTCTCCCCACAGTACAGTATGAATAGCCTGGGTATCTCGAATGGCACATCGAATGGCACATTAAAGGAAATGGGTGGTGTATGTATTGTACATACGTAGCCACTCCTAGTCACAAGCTCATACTCGCCGCACTCGAAGGGTCGGCGTAAGTATCGAGTCGTAAATGCCTGACACGGCCATACTTCCTCCCAGGCCGTATCCGCACCCTTTAGACCGCGTTTCCTCCAAGCCCACTCCCAGCCAACTCCTTCCGCACCAGCAGCGGTCCCATCCCAAAGCTCATGCTCTCTACAATGACTAAGCCGTCGAGTGATATCCACAACTCTGCCGTCCCCATAGCACTTCACCTCTATCCATCACCTCCTGTACACTCCCGCACACTTCCCCTCCCCCTTCCCCTCCAACCACCCACCCCTCACTTCCAGTCACCAAAGTACCCAGGGCCAACTTCCAAGATCCAAGTGTGCTACCGAATCACTACCGATATCCAGTCAATTATAGTATAGGTAGTTCACAAATTAGACCCAGTCACCCAGTATACATCTTACATCCCACATACACCACATTCTCTCCCTCCCTCCCTCCCATCCATCCACCCAACCATCCATCCAGCCAGCAACTCCAGATTCCAGAAGGAACAACCTCCCCCCGCCCAACCCCAACCACTCACATGGATAAAACTGTCAAAACACCAAAACACCCACCGGGCTCCCAATATATGATACGATGATACGATGATGATGCAGTTCGGAAAGGAAAGGAAAGAAAAGGAAAGAAAGAAAAATTAAGAGCAAAAAAGAAAGAAGAAACAGATGTGATAAGGTATCATCAATGCTATGTGTGACCCCATTGTTGAAAAATGTGCACTCGAAAGAGAAAGAAAACATGATACAGAAAGAAAGAAAGAAAGAAGTCAATTTATGGCTGCAATCCCCTGCCCTTCCACCTGCCATCGGCCATTCTCTTTGCGCGGTCGGCGCTCGCCGCGTTCACTGCGTTCGCCGCAGAAGCAGCCGCAGTCATAGGGAACGTCTTACTGCGTGCCAGCTCCTTCTCTTTCTCTTTCTCTTTCTCGCCCTCAACCGCCATCCCCATCCCCATCCCTATGCCGCCGGCAGCCTGCATCTGATTCTGATTCTGCTCGCCGTGCAGTCCTCTCCTACGGAACTCCTCGCCGCCATTAGCAGAGCACCATTTTACGAGCATCTTCTCGAGCAGCCCGCCGCGCACCGGCTTGGCAAGGTAATCGTCCATGCCCGACTCCTTGCACTTCTCGCGGTCGCCCTTGATGGCGCTGGCGGTCATGGCCACGATCGGGATGCGGCTGAGCCACTCGACGACGTCGGGGCCTTCTAGGGGGGCGGCAGGGGCGCCAGGTGCCGTGGAGGTGGAGGTGGAGGTGGAGGAGTGCGCGTGTAGCCGCCCAGAGCGGATCGCCCGCGTCGCAGAGTACCCGTCCATCTCGGGCATCTGCACGTCCATGAGGATTACGTCGGGGCGGCGGAGGGAGGGCGGGTTGGTGGAGGTCGCGTCGGCGGTGGTGGGTAGTGCCGCGCACCGCGCCATGAACTCGAGGCATTCGAGACCGTTGCGCACCGCGGATACGGTAAAGTTTAGCTTCTTGATCAGACGGATCGCTATTTGTTGGTTGACTTCGTCTGTTGGTGGAATGGTTAGGGTGGGTCAACGAAGTAGGTACTTGGATAGTGGTTGGAACAGACTGTCTTCGACAACGAGCACGTGGCGCTTCCGCCGCTCTTCGAGATCGCTCTCGACCCCTTGTGGGAAAGCTCGACTGATATGCTGCAACAGTGGGCTCGCGTTGGCCGGCCGGTTGATCTCGCCCTCAGCCGGACACAAATCGCAAATTGATTCCGGCGGCGTCCGAGTGCCAGTGTTCGACGATGATCGGCACGACACCGACATGTCTGACTGCAATCGCTCCGGAAGCGCGTCACTATCGAACTCCAAGAACCGCCTGTTGCTGGCTTTCTTGAACGGGATCGCCAAGTGAGCTGATGTGCCCTCGCCGGCACTGGAGACGAGGCTGATATCGCCGCCCATGAGAGTGACGAGCTGAAGGTTCAGTTGTCAGCAAGTCGGACCGGCGACCTCAAACGGGGCTGAACCTTACATTCTTGCATATCGTCAAACCCAACCCAGTCCCTCCAAACCTCCGCGCAGTAGACGAGTCCGCCTGCGTGAAAGGCTGGAAGAGTTTACACTGATCCGAGTCCGCGATGCCAATGCCAGTATCCCGAACAGCAAAGTTCACCGACAGCGTGTCATCGTCCTCATCGCCAATTGTAGCTTTCAATTCCACGATACCTTCATGTGTGAACTTGACCGCGTTGCTAAGCAGATTCGCCAATATCTGTCGGACGCGCCCGGGATCACCCATGACCGTCAAGTCCCCGCTGCCCGGGAAATTGATCTCGTGTTCCAACTGCAGCCTTTTGCGGTCCGCCTCGAAGGCGAGCATCTTCACCACATCCGTAATCACTACCGAGAGGTTGAAGGGGACTTCTTCGACGTCCATTTTACCGGATTCGACCTTCGAAAGGTCGAGGATGTCGTTGATGATGGTCAAGAGAGCGTTTGCTGATCGTTGTATACCCTCTCCAAGCTCTCGCTGCTCGGGCGTCAACTTCTCGTCGAGGAGAATCTCACACATTCCGACAACGCCGGCCTGATGTTGGTTAGCCGTATTCGCACAGAACACCCATGTGGGAGAGAGAGAGGGAGGTCTCACGATTGGCGTTCGTATCTCATGTGACATAGACGCCAGAAATTCGCTTTTGAGTTTCGACGCCTCTTTTGCCGCCGCCTCATTAGCCTGCAGCACACGATTCTGGCGCTCGCGCTCCTGCAGTTCGCGCTCCGTCTGGTAGATCGCCGTAACGTCCATACTGAGCCCGATAACGTCGGTGACAACATTCGGATCGAACTCCCCGCCAGGCCCTCTAAGCCCGCGTACGGGCACAAACTTATTGCTGTACCATCGGCCGTTGAACTCGCTTTCACGGAACCACTCGTTGATCTCGCCCTTGAGCACTCGCATGACGCCGTCCAAAGCCCCGTACTGATCCTCGGGGTCGACCCCGGCAAAGATGTCTTTGATATCCTTTCCGATGAATTCGGATGGGTCGGGCACGTCCATCCCTGCAAAAGGCGATATTCTCACGTTATCTTCAAATTAACAGTTTGGGCACTCCAATCTAGACAACTAGGGAAGAGGGGAAGAGGATATTATTGCGAACCTTCTAGCATGTACATGGTGCGATTGGCATCGACCGCCCACAGGGTGAGTTTCGCGTGCCGCAATGCTTCGCTGAGTTGTCGTCGGGTCGCTCTTTCGGCCGTTCGCGCCTGGACCATGTCGTGGATGTCGGTCGTCGTTCCGTACCATTTGACGATTTCGTTAGTTTTGGGATCTCGGAGAGGCAATGCGCGTCCCAACATCCATCTGAATTCGCCGTCATGTCGTCTGCACCGGTACTCGACCACATAGTCTTCACCGGTGGCCAGACAGTGGGACCACCGCGCTTCTATGGTTTCGACATCGTCCTGTCGCCGTCAGCGGACAGGTGTTCCGGACAAAGATGGGAGACTTACGGCGTGGTAACCGTCCACCCAACCCTGAGCATCGGGCTGCAGGTCAGCCGGATAACGGACCATGTTGGGACGAGGCAGGAGGCCTACAGTTCCCAGACACTGCTCTGGCTTCAGGCCAGTATAATCGTACCAACGTTTTGAGAAGTAGTCGTGTCGACCGTCGGGAGTGCTGGTCCATATCTAGGGGGTGACGTGAACAACGGCCATCAGTGAATGAATCATGTGCGGAGTTCTTCCGGCCCGACGCGAAAACCCCTCTTTCCCGAGGGAAGGACACATGCTTACCATCTGCGGAATACAATCCAGTATGTTTCTAAAGCGCAATTCGTTCCTCTGGGCCTCGGTATCCAACGTCTTCTGCATCTCAGCCATCTTGGTCACGTCTTGCAACACAACCAGTGCGCCCACGAACTCGCCCGTCTTGTTCCAGATGCACTTCCCGGTCACGTCCACCAACTTCTTCTGTCCACCGGCAAGCATTCCGATGGTCACCGGTTCGACGGGCTCGTGCGTCGCAATCATTTTGGCCAGCGGCGACTCGTCGGCGCGCAACTGCCGCGAAAAGTCGGGGGTGTAGGATTTAAGATTGCTCCATGTCTGCATCCGATCGAACGGTCGTGGTTCTTCGCCAACGCCCGTGGTCGAGTCCGGCGGCTGGATAAGTTCGAAGCATGCCCGATTCGGTAGTGCAACGCTGCCGTCGTTGTATATCTATGATCACCCAGTCAGTGAATTTTGCTCTCGCGGCGAAGGTTGAGGGGGGAGGGGCTCACGGCAACAACGGGCGTCTCCATCGCGTCAATCAGCGCTTCTTCCAACACCTCAATCTTCTCCATAAGCGTCGCGGATGCCCGAGCGGATTCGGACTCCGAGAATTCATCCGCCACCGTATAGTTCCTCGCGCGCCAAGTGTCTGACGCCGCCGACGCCGCCTCCTCTTCCGGAGGTCGCGACAGCCATTTCGTAGGCAATGTTTTGAACATGCATGTGAAGAAGAGTTTCCCGTCGTCTTTCCACGGCAAAATCGTCAGTTGTGTGCGTCGCGCCGGCCTGGGTTGTCCGTGTCCCCATGAAACCTGCACCCCTCCCCACGGCACGTGAACATCGATCCTTTCGCTCTTGAACTTTCCGTCGGCGCCGACCTCTCGCGCCAACGAGTCCAGTTGTGTCTCCCACGACAGCAGACACAGTGTCGAGTCCTTCGCGAACGCGTCAATTCCAAGCTGGTTCAACGTGTTGCCAAATAGCCTTTCGGTGACGTCGTCGCACCGAGTGTCACCACCACCTCCTCCACCACCACCTCCACCACCGATCGAGTCTGCGCCGTCACCGAGTCTGACATCCCCGCCGCCTGCGCCGCCGCCTTCGCGCGCCGAAAGACCCAGGTATTCCCCCAGCGCATCGTTCGCGAGAATTATCGTTTTTTGATCGTCGAGCACGAGTAGAGGGATCGGGAGATGCTGGAGGACAAGGAGGGATACCGACGCCGACGTCGACATTGTGTTGCGCCTTTTCTCAAGAGCCGAAAGAGAAGGTTGCGAGGATAGCGTTGATCCCTCCGACGACGACAGCGACGACGACAACGACAACGGCGACGACAACAACGAAGGCTCTAGGTGCTGCTGCTGGTGGTGTTGCTGCTGGTGCTGGTGCTGGTGCTGTTGCTGCGCGTGTGGCGGCGGAGGCGGCGGCGAATCCGAGATCGCCGTCACATCTGCTTCCGCTGCATCTGGCTGGAAGAACATCGCCTCTAGCGATCTTCGCTGCTCGAAAAGCGCTACGAGTGACTCTGGCCGGATGCCTGTGCCAGCCATACAGAAGTAGTGTACCAGTCCAATCGATGCGTTCGCCCCGGAAACCCGATCACCTTAGAGTACCGTGCCTACGGTATGTACTGCACCCAAATCTACGCGTTCTTATTCTTCTCTTAACTCTCCACTCTCCACTCTATCGACCTCGACCTCGCCCTCGACCTCGTCAACGTACAGTAATCAATCTACTATACGGCAACCCGGTTTGCAAGAGGGTGTGACGTTTTCTCGGTCAGCTTGCGCCAGTCAGCGACTTCCGTTAACTTATGGCCTAGTCGAAATGGCTCGGAGGAATGACGCGGGGGGTGAGGATGGGGTCGGGTGTGTGCAGTGGTGCGCGGAACAAGGTCCCGAGATCTCTCTCAACAGGCGGCTGTGGGGGGGCTACCGGGAGCGGATCGCGTTTTCCTAGGGTTTCTTCTTCTTCTTCGTCTTCGAGAATGTTTTGACCGCAGCGAGTGAGGGGATCACGGACTGTGAATAGTAGAGTAGAAGGCAGTGAACGGCGGATGTGGACAGACGCGAGAGGTCACTGCCTAGTGCCCAGTGCCTCTTTCTCTTCCTCTCCCTCCTCCCACCACCACCACCACCACCCACCCCCCTCCCAACCCCCATACGCATGGATCGTCGAATTGCTGGTGGTTAAAGATATTTCCCCTCTTTAGCTCGTCGTCCGATCCGGACTACTGAGGTGCCACTAGTCATTGATGCGGGCGGGCTGCCCCACAATTGCGTCGCCCTTGCGCTGGAAGGGATCATCCGTGCAACACGAACGTGTCGAGACTCGAGACTTGTCGTGGCTGGGATTTCAGCTCTGGGACGGGATCTCCCGTGTCTACAAGGAGTCAAATTCAAAGTCAAAGTCAAAGTCAAAGTCAAAGTCAAGGTTGAGTGCACATCTCATCTCATCCCCAGCTCGAGCTCGAGCTCGGATGTTGTCTAGAGGAGCGTGAAAACCCGCGGCAAATCAGGAACCGCGCCCATCTTCGTTCAGCATACAAGGTCAAAGGGGCGTTGTAAGATTCGGTGCAGTTCCCCGTCTGATCTTGGTGGAGGAAGCGCTCTCACCGCGAGTGACGCCGCCATTGACGGTGCGAGCTTGCTCTACTCTATGGTTGGGGACACCTAAAATAGGAGTGAGAAAATGCCCGACTCCATCCCCGGTTTAACTCAACCACAACACCCAGTAAAATTAAAAGAGCTCTATAGCATGATAGAGGAAGGGTTAAAGTAGGGCGCTATAGAAGCGAAATAAAAATACAAAGCGTGGTGAATTAATTTAAGCGGGTTGAAAAAAACTGATTTGTATGGGGAGGATTTTGGAATGTCGCAAATAATAGCATGCACTGAGGCTCTAGCGCTCTTTTAACTTCCTAAAACGGTAATACGAGTGACGGATGATGAGCCTTATTCGAGCCTTGGCGCTAGTTGATCCTTGCTCACCCTAACTGAGCTCGCGCATGAGTGCTATTCGACTTGGACCTCCTCAGAACACACGCGAATAGGTCAAAAATGGGGGCCATACGGCCCAAAAATCTTCACAATTACGAAAATTACTTGCTCTGTATTCGAAAAATTGCCTGCGACGCACTTATTAACCCTCATTTTTGGTGTAGACACTATAGTCACTCGTGATTTATCAGCCAAAATGAGTGTCGTAATTCACTCCGGTTATAGGCGTCCCCAACCATACATCAGTACCGATCATCGCCGCCGTCCCGGTGTCATATGCGAACCGGGAGCGGCATGTCACGCTCGCTACATATGTATGGCGGAGATAGATCCGTTGGGGTATCCTCGAATACGGTATATATCACATGAATCTAGAGGCGGAGCCGTAAAGGAGTTTGCCGCCCCCGTACTCTATGTACTCAAGTACATACTCCACATAGGTATCGGAAGACCGGTCCCTGCTTAAAGGGTTCCTATAGTTAGTACGTAATACGGGATAGACAAATGTCTTACCATTGAGATGATCCAGCTCAGGGACCTCCGCCGACGACTCCACAGACGGCTCCACAGACGACTCCACAGACGACTCGACGGACGACTAGAGTACACGGCGGAGAGACTGTACACATACGGCAGTATGCGAAAAGGGAATTTCGAATGTAGGTACACCGTATTCGTTCACAGAGCGCGAGTATCTTCCAGCCAGAGGAATCCAGCCAGTAATACGAGACGATACGAGATAGAGCACACCACATACATAATAGAACTCCACAATATTTACATGGGCATCTGCATGCAGGTCCAGTGGGGAACAAGCAATAGTTAGGGGCGTACCAGTTCTATCTAGCTAATGGGGTTGGTCGGCAGAGGACTCCACGACGCGGAGCCTTCACGATGCAGTTAGCAGACTCCGCGAGCACTCCTACCCCAAGTTTGCTCCGCACTGCGACCAACTTGGCGTTCCTCGGACGAGGAGAAAAAAGCAACTCTTGTCGTTCAGGCTTCGGGGCCAGAACTTTACACCCAACAGAGTGTGCACCCCATACAAGGTGGTGTATGTATACCCGCAGATCTTGCTTCCGTTCCAGCATTCCCGTGTATGGTGCCGGACGCTTTAACGGGCAAGCGAGGGACAAAAAATGACCCTCACCGCCGACCGCTACTCCTCGCCACCACAACAAAAGAATTTATTTTGAAACCGTAGAATGGTAGAGTAGTATGTTTAGAACGGTTCTACGGTTTCAAAATTAAATTATCGATGGTTGGTGGAGAGGAGTAGGGCTTGAAAAGTCGGGTATTTTGTATGAGGGGGTGTGCCATTGGACATACGCTAGACCTATAACCATCTTAGTGCAAAGTGAGTGATAATTAATGAGTAACCCAAGTAACATATACAAACGGAAAAAAAAGTGGATCTACAAGAGCACGGCTGGAGTGGCGGTGAGTAGGACAACAGGACGAATCATAAATTAAGTCAATCGAGCAAAAACTGGTTGAAATATTGGTTTACCACCAAAGGTTTTTGCGAGGTCATATTTTCGCACTCGATTTCTTGGCGGCCCACCTCCATTGGACATGCCAAGACGCTAGCCCGTTAAAGTGTCCGGCACCATAGAATATGTAGGTACCAACTCTAGATACATACAACTTCCATCCTCCACAATCTGCAGCATTCAGGAGGCGGGTGCCATACACATGTACCTATTCTGCTGCGCCCGTGCATGACGGGCGGGAGCTAGAAGTTTAGAACTGGTCCAAGAACCCGAGCCTGGTAAGATGGAGGATGGTGGATGGAGGATGGATATGGCACTACCTGGTATGAGTTACTCTGCATGCACATCTCGAAGAACATGCGCGCCGTTTACCGGACCCCCCCGATTCCATGGTGGACTCTAGAGCATATGTAAGTAGAGCACCTACCTACCGATGAAGACTGCGTCTGTGCTCCCCAGGAGGTTTGGAGGATGCGGAAATTCGGCACGTATCATGTGAAATGTATCAACACATGTATTGTACTTGTACATACCGATACGAAGCTCCTACGGATCTATGTATGTGTGCACAAGTACTCTATCACTCTGCTATAGGTAGGTTGGGGTGTCTATGTACACAATAGAGCATTTTGCATGTCATGAGATGAGCCCACGTGGAACAACGAAGCTAGGTAGCCCAAGGACCTTAAGAATGTGCAGGACGGGTACTACTCTAGTGTATATATCATAGATGTGTAGAGTATGCAGTCGGTGAGAGGACTCTGGCTAGATGTTTGCGCCCGTAGAACATATCTCCTATATACCCGTCCCACGGCCACACACCCGTTGTCACTCCCTGGTTTTCCGGAATCCAGTTGTCTTCTCGAAGCGCATGCAGTACCAGTGCCGCCTCGCACCCTCCATTCAAATTTCAGCATCCAGTTATGTAATGTAATGTTTCGGCGCACCACTCCGAGAATGGCTGCTGGACAGGTGGGTAAGAAGTACCTATACAAGAGCTTTTATGTATGCATAGAAACAACTCCACCGCCGCCGAGGCGCCCCCGCGATGTCGGTAATTATATGGAAAGTGATATGTATGGAAGGCAAACAGAAGCCCCTTCAACCGAGACATCGTCAACCCCAACCCCAACCCCAACCACAACCACAACCACAAAAAGCGAGTCGGATGGATGGATGGATCATGAATGGATGAATTATACATAGATGGATGGATGCACCAACTCATGCGCGCGGCGGTGACTAGGACATTAGTTACCGTATTCGCCATCCATCCATCCATCCATCCTCGAGTCCGCGACCCAAGGTAGAGACCAACCTCCGATCATCCGATCCGATTCACATACTTACATTATACATACATTATACATACATTATACATGCATATATGCATATATAGATGCATAACTACAGCCAAAGTCTTCATCCGAGCTCGAGCACGAGCTCGGTGGGTGATCTTCACCGCCATTCGCACATAGTTAGTCTCAGTCTCGGATGCTTTGTAATGCCTGCATTCCGCGGCGTCTCCGAGTCGGCGGCAGCACGTACGATCACTCACTGCCATCACTCACCGCCTGCGCTCACCGCCAGTGCTCACCGCTCGTCGTCTACGGACGGACGTACGGGGAGGGCGGATGGACGCCCTCCCTCCCGGGAATTGGTAATGCTGGTATAAAGTATGCATACTTATGTAGATGATTGACCGGACTTTACGGAGCTGGACTTTACGGAGCTCGGCACACAAATGAAGCCCCGGGGCCGCCGACGGGGGAGGGGGGGGGGGGCAGAGCGGGTGAGTATATACGAGTACATATCCGCGATGGCCAGCTTTAGGTGATATGGCGTGCGAGTAACCGTATACCGGTAGTTACGTGAGTCGTCTTACCGGCTCATTCCCGTTGCGTGCTGAACGTATGTATCATGGATATTACTCGCACATAGCCGTGCGACACATTGCCGGCTGAGGCTGTTTTCATACCTTCCAAGTCCCCAGGTGTTTTAGGAATCGTCGGCTTGGGGAAAACTTATGGCAGCTGCCATGACGCATACTGGAATTTGGTTCACACAGTCACTTGGCGAGCAGTCGGGCACGGAATGAGAGTGAATGAAACTGCGGTAAGGGAGGAGCAAGTGCAAGTGCACATTGTCTGAGTTCTGAACCATCCACTGAACTGATCCATTCGCCGGTGCTTCGAATCCTTTGTAAATAACTCCATTCACCTCCATCTACTCTAGCCAACCAATATCGTCTACACCGGGTATCACTCCACGTCTCTCATCTCAATACAGCGTATTAACCCTCCTCTCACCGAGCACGCCACCGACCCTCTCGGCCTCCCACCTCTTCCTACGGACCAGTATCGCCAAAGGCACATCCTCATCCTCGTCCTCGACCTCCTCATCGACGCCATAATCCGCGAGTCTCTCCCCATCCTCATTCCTCCAGCCGTCGTCATCATCGTCGCCGTCCCCATCCCCGTCCCCGTCCCGAACCAGAATACTATCCTCCATCGGCGCGATGCTCTCAACGCTCATGATGCCATAATTCGGAATGCGCGTGGGCGGCGCCCTGACGGGGCCCCTCTCCCAGCGCTTCAGGTCCTGCGCCTGTCTTCGGCGGAAGGCGCCCACATCCATTTCTCCGGGGTCCTGAAGGATACTGACGATGCCGCTCCTCTCGAGCTGCATCTTCTCGGGGTCCTTAGGTGGCCAGACTAGATCCGGATTTTCAAAGCCGTTGACCTCCCACTCCAGGCCGGCCACCAACCCTCCCCTGACTCCGGGCACGGGTTTCCGCGCGCCGACTGTGGGCGACCGCGCGAGCGGGTTGAACCACAAGGGAAGGAAGAACTGGTACCCGAACGCCGCGACGAGGTTCTCCCAGATCCCAACGTCGTAGGGGAAGACCTGGGTGGCGACGTTGCCGCGGCGCACGGCGGCAGCGTGTCGGCTGTGCTCCCACGTTTCGATCGTGGTATACCCCGTCGCCGTCTGCTGCAGCGTCTTGAGCGAGAGCGCGAGCAGCGCGAGCCACAGCGGGAAATCGATTAGCAGCAGTGCAGCCAGGAGGAGGAGCTGGCTGGTTGAGTGTGGCGAGTAGTAGGATGGCAGGTCCCGCGCTACCCATACCGCGTACGCCCGCGAGATGAGGGATAGCAGCAGGTAGAACGTCGTGCTAGTCGCGTAGAAGAGAAAACGCAGGAAGTGTGGGGTGTTGCGGTAGCCGATGCAGGATGCCGTCCACGGGCAGTGGTGGTCCATCTTCAGGATGCAGCTACACTCCGCCCATCAATGATCAGCTCCCTGCCTCCCATCCATCATCCCCTCTACGACCGATGGGTGAGATTTACCGTTTGCATGTTTTACAGTGATGGGTCCTAGCAGGCTTATACCTCTCGCAGCGCTTACACCATCTGGCATGTGTGGCGACCAGACGGCGCTGTTCAGCGCGTCCACGGCCATCCTCAGCATCTTCAACAACGGGCGGGACCCATTCCTTGGGCGGCGAGCCGGGATCGGTAAAGATTGAGCGCGCGTAGGTGATCCAGATGCAAGCTACGGCGGCGTTGAAGAGGATGTGCTGGTTGCGTGTCCAGTACGGTGACAGCAGGTAGATTTGTGACGGGTAGGCTAGGAAGGCGATCAGCAGGACGACGCCGGTGACGGCGAGGTGGGACAGCTTCGGGTCGAGCATTGCATCGTTGGCGGCGCGGCTTTGGGGACGGCGGAGCTGGGAGCTGGCTGCTGGTGACGTGGTTCATGGGCCGGGTAAAAGAGTCACTGGACTAGGCGGCGGAAAGGTGATGGACATTGCTGCGCGTTCGCACCACTGCTTTCAGGTCTCTTTCAGGTCTTCTTCATGAGGATACAACTATAGTCCAATTCAACTCATCAACATCGAGAGACGCGATAAAAACAGGAAAAAAAAACATAGCAACACAGCGCAGCAGCAAGAGCAGCATCGCTAAAAATCTAAGCAAAAGAAGAATTCCCCTCCCCACAAAACCACTAGGAAATCCAAACAAACTCCCAATAGGGACGACCAAGCAACGGAATAGAATAGATATGTATATGTAATCCAGCACGCGGTGCCCAAAAAAACGAAAAGCGAAAAGCGAATAAGTATCAAATCTAAGCAAGTCTACCACTCATCCTCATCGTCGTCCTTCTTCGACATGCGCACCTGCCGTTGCTTCAACTATGCAATCATCAGTATCCACTTTCATAATGCGGGAATGGGATCAACTTACAGCCTCGGCCAACCCGCCTGCAAAACTGTCTCCACTCGTACTCGCCCCCGAGCTGCCGGTAGCACTGTTCCGATCTGGCGTTCCGGCAACACCGGGCCGCTTCGGCGGCGCCGGGGGCTTATTCGGTCTCTTGGGTGGCGGTGGTGCAGCCTTCTTCGGGGGCGGGGCGACTTCCTCCAGGTACTCGCTTGGTGCCCATCCTTGCGCGTTGGAGTCGAGCCGTTTGACCAGCCACCAGCCGTTATCGTTCTTCTGGAGGAGCGCTACCACATCGCCGAAAGCCACCGATAATTCTTGGCTGGTGGAGCCGACGAAATCGAATTTGGCTTTGCACATTGGGTCAGCCGAAGGCGGGGGAGCTTCGACAGGTGGAGGTGGAGGTGGCGGTGGTGGCCGCGTCGAGGCTGTTGAGGGTGTCCGTGCGTGTGACGCCACTGCTGCCGTGACTGTCGGCGCGACGGGTTTCCGGACAGGCGTAGCGTGAGATGTCGCTGGTGCCGGACGAACAGCGACGTTGGCGATTGGTTGAGGGGTAGGTCGCTGTTCCTGGGGCAGCGGTCGTGCAGCGGCCGGCCGACTGTTCCCTGCTCCACCTTTGGGCCCACCTGGTCGTAGTAGCTTGCCGGTGGTGATCGGTTTCGCCGGCTGTTGCTTACCCTTCGGCGTGGGTTTACTGGTAGAGTTCGGCGGTTCACCGGGTCCAACGTGAATGGTCGAAGACTTGTAGAGGTCGTCCCGGGGGACCGTGGGATCTTTCTTAGACTTGACGATCGCCTTCTTGCCTGGCTTCTTCGAGTACTCAATTGTAGGATTGATCCGAATCTCGATGCCAGCCTTGAGGATGATGTTCAACTGAGTGATGAGCTCAGTCTTGAATACACAAGAGATCAGGGGATCAGGCGCCTGAGGAGATCCAATTCCCAGGCAGAACCAATCGTCGCGGAGGTTGGTCATACCGATGAACTTGATGGCGCCTATAGGAATATTGTGTTCCGCGGTAATGGACAGTTGGCCGTTGACCACAGCCTGAGAGATAACATAGAAAGCGCGGTTCGTCAAGATGAGTACCCGAGGACTGGGCTTACTACTGCGGCCCAACTTTGAAATGAGAAGCTCGCCTCTGCAGCTAAAGACCACATTTTCTGCCGCGCTGATACCGGTAGTGTTCTTGAGCATTTCACCGGGGCCACCCCTATTGCCGGCCCCAAGGTAATCGCCCATGAACCGTCGGCTTCCCAAGAGACTCATTCTTCTCCGCTCCTTCTTGCCGCTGAGCTGCCTATGCCCTTGATCTCGCAGCTTCAAGAATTCCTCTCCACCGCGCTTCTTCCTCCATGCCCGTTGGATCCTGGTGGCACACTCGGCACGGTACCGCAGATAGTTCCTCCACGCACGCTGGATGCGGGTCGCCATGTTGTGCCAGTACCGATCTCTCATGGTCTCAAGCGCAAAAAGTGTCTCGGGGGTCTTGATGAACGCCTTCGTGACACCCATCTGCCATTCATCCTTCGGGATGCTTGTGTCCTTCAGGATCTGCAAGACACCGGACTTGGAATCGCCAGTCCACGTGAAATCTCCAGCATAACTGGTTTTGGGCGAGAGCAGATAAAAGCGCTCAATGAACTTCTCGAATGACTGTCTGTAGGCGAATCCAGCACGACGGATTCGCACGTTCTCCTGGAGACCGAGGTACTTGATCTGATGCAGGACTGCCGGAACGTCGTACTCGGTGGGACTCTTATTCTGATTGGGCTTGATGGTGCGGATGTACGACGGCTGAGCCTTCATGAGGGTCTGCACGAGGTCATTGGCGGAAACCTTGATCTTGTCACCGGCGGTTGGCGGCCGTCGCTTGTTGTCCCTGTCGATCTGCTGCGGGAAGAGGGTTTTGATGAAAGGGTTCGCACTCGCTGCCACAAGCTCAAGGATATCCTTGAGCAGCTGATCCCTATTCTTCTCGGTCATACCCGGAACACTGTAGTGCACGTCACCGGCGTAGTGCTTGATCACGAACTGGCCCGACCGATTCTCAAAGTGCTTGTGATCTCCGAGCCTATTCAGTCCCTGGACGAACGCTCCGTCGGCGGAGGATGGATCCGCATGTCCCGTGGCGCAGGCATCATTGAGTGCAGCGAAGACACCCGGTGGTCGCTTCTCCTCGATCAGGTCGCACACAACTTTGTTGTCGAAGTACTTGATCGGCGTCCATTTGATCTGTTCTCGCTCGTACTCCTCCTGCTCGGTCCTGAGGGTGAGCTGAATGAAGATCTGCTGGAGCTTCTCGTTGACGTAGTTGATGCACAGCTGCTCGAACGAGTTGGTATCGAAGATCTCGAATCCGTAGATATCAAGGATTCCAATCGAGTTCGCTACAATGCCACCCTGCGTCTGCATAGCCAGGTTCACGCGATCCACAATCCACTCGAAGAGGTTGTTGTAGATGGCCTTGGCGAGTGCATCGCGGACGGAACTCGCCTGCGCTGGATTCAACGGCACCTCGTAGACACTTCCCCTCCGTCCGCCATGACTCGTCTCCATGATCCTCAACGTGAGCGCCCTGTTCACAGCCGCGCCGTCGACCTCGAGTAGGTATGCGACAAAGTCTGTAACCGAAGGATCGACAATTGCACCTTTGCCGTTGTCGTCCTCGGCGAATTGGATGTTCCCCAGCCACAGGATGGTGGACAGCATCCGGAAGATCTGGTCCTGCTCTTGCTGCGATAATCCAATGATTTGCATCGCCTGCAGGGTCTCCTGGAAATCCACCACGTCGTCGATCCCCGGTACCTGCATACAGCCGGATTTGGAGGTGTAGACGTAAGACTCGGGTCCCTGAATGCCAAACAGTTCTACCGCGCGTCAGCGACCCATCACACCCGTAGAAAATCGCCCTTGCAACCAACCTCGGTGCTGTTGGCTAGCAGCCTTCGCGAACTGGTAAAAGATGTGGAAATTCCTCTCTTCCCGAATCTGTCCCACAACCCTATTCTTCTCCAGCAGGTAATTGGTGATATTGGCACCAACAGGCTCTCCTTGCGAGTTGAACTGGATCTCGAGGTACTTTCCGTGCCGACTCGAATTGTTATTTCTGAGCGTTTTCGCGCACCCGAAGGATTCCAGCAGCGGATTGGTCGCAAGAACCATGTCCTTGATCTGCTGAATCGTCGACGACGAGGTCGACGAGGCCGCCGCGATGTACTGCATTATCCGCTTCGCCGCCTCGGTCTTTCCGGCTCCAGATTCACCACTGCTATCCATCAGCATCCCATGAACACACCACCACCGCCAAAGGGGCCGACATACCTGATGATGATACACTGGTTCTCTTTGTATCCGTTCATATTGTAATACGAGCTCTCGGCAACTGCAAAGACATGCGGCGACATCTCCAGCCGATTCTTCCCTCGATAACTCGCCAGAACCTCATCCGTATAAATTCCGAGATCACGGAACGGATTGACCGAGATCAACACATGGCCGATATACGTCTGCGAGCGACACACACCGTCAGCCACACCCTCCTATGCATGCATCCACCGCTCACGCTCTCCCTCTCCCGGGCAGACATACGTAGATCTCCTTGTTCTCGAACCGCTTCTTGAGGTTCTCGTTGATCGCCTCGTTGGTGATCTTTGAGATGAGCGTGAGATCCGACACGCCGACCTCCTTCTTCTTGGTGGATTCGAACGCGGCCTTGCGCACTCCCGAGGACTTTCCCGACGGTGCCGCACTCGCGAAGTCGGCGTCTTTCGCGGCGCCCTTTTTGCGCCCGGCGCGTTTTGTGACACCCTGTTGCTACATGAGCGGGGGGACGGGGACGGGGGCGGGGAGGGGGAAATGGAGGTCTAAGGGGCGGGTGGGTACCATGTGGAAAGAGGTTTATCGCGGTGCTGAAGGTGTGGTTGCGTTTTTTGTTCCGTAAATGCGGGGTGTTGCTTGCTTGCTCTAGCCTTCACTGCTGTTGTTGTGGAGGTGGAGGTGTGATCGCGTCCGATCGAGTCTGTGCGATGGATGGGGGGGATGGTGGAGATGATTGACAATGGTGACTGGAAGGGTGAGTTGGAGCTCAAGCAGCACCGGTTTCCTATATGGGATTAGCGGTTACGTGGAGGCTCTGGTGCTGGCTGGCTGGGATGTTGGCGGGTGGCAGTTGCTTGTTTGGCGTGCTTGCTAAAACGCCGAGAGGATTACGTACGCTTGGAGGCAAAAGAGGATGGAGGTGACGAATGGGGCATTGCTGTGGCATGGAGAGGCGTAATGAGGATATGACGGTGATAGCCTGGGCGTTTTGCTTGGAATTTACATTGAATATTGGGGGCCTTGCTTGGAATTTTCAATGAAGATTGCGGGTCGTACTGGTAATGGTGTACCTGGACACTCTCGGGTAAGACGGGATAGCATCATTCCGATCACTCGGAAGCTAAGAAAACGGTGCCTGAATATAGTCGAGCTTTCCTGACACCGCCTTCAGCTCATCTATAACCCTCAATGTCTCATCTACTTCGTCTATAAGCAAAACTTTTGTCTACCTTCGTCTCACGCTCTTCCATCACCGCCTTTCCTTGTCCTCCCTTTCCTCCCTCAAGCACCTTGAGCACATACAAGCGCCGCCCAGGCACCCCATCATCCACTCCCTACGCTCCTTGTATGGCAGAGAGTTGTCACAGTAGCAGCTCATCAGCTCCTGTCCTTCCCTTACGGCGATGCCACTGTCATCTTTACCCACGCCCCAGAACCTCATGATTCCCGCGCACTCCCAGCGGACGCTGGGTTCGCAGTCGTGGTTGACGAGCGAGTAGAGGGTGTGTGCCGCCGCCGCCTCTGTTTCTCCGTGCGCATTCAGCCGGCCGCTGGCGGTCCCGCGGAACTTGGCGATGAGCGTGTTGACGACCCATGTATCCCACCAGTCTGGTCGAGACACCTCCGTAGAGAGCGATGTGTGCTTCCCAGAGAAAACATCGATTCCCAGCGCCTCAAGGATGCCAATGACACCACGGACATTCTCCTCCCAGCCCCAGCCGATCCGGAGCTCCAGCACCTCGACGGGCGGCACGCCATATAGGTACTTGGTCTCCTCAAGCTCGAGTGGGTGCACTCCCTGAGTGAGCGCCATGGCAAAAGCCTTCATCATCAGCAAGGCGTAGACTGCACCGCCAGGCTGCGAGGACTTGGCAATTTGCAGTTCTGATTGCTGGAGTGCTGCGCGGTGGATCAGTGCGATGGGGCGACAGCAGAGTGCGGGGTGGTACTTGGTCATTGCCATATCCCGACAGTGCGCCGAGCACCATACCGGGACGACCGCCTCGATTCCCTCCGCTTCCGCGTCGGCGCAAAGATCGCATGTGAATGTTTCCGCTGAGATGACAACCTCCTCCTCCACCTTCCTCTCCTCCTTCTCCTTCTCCTCGCTGGTCCCCGCGTCACCGGGCAGCTTCAACACCAACTTCGGCCTGCTCGGCAATACCTCCTTCCTCCACCGGCACCCACAGTATTCGCACAGGCCGCCCTCCACCGGATCCGTCACGACCGTGAGCACGCTCTCCTCGCGCATACAAATCTCGCCGGCCTTGATATCCCTCTTCGCAAACACGCCCAAGTGCTTCGTCACACCGAGTACCTCGGCGGTCTCGCTCAGAAGCGGCAGGTTAACCACCCTCACCTCGACGCAATCCGAGCTTCCAGGCACCACACACTCATTCAGGTGCATGACGGTCTCGGCCGAGAACCTATCGGGTTCGTGGGAGTTCCATGGATATACCAGCCTCCTCGCGCGACCACCCTTCCCCTCTGCCATGGACTCTACCGCCTCGAGCACATCGCGGAACCCCCGTTCCTCGGGGAACCGTCGCATCCCGAGCCGCGCATACTCGCCGGCCTGTTTGCCACAGCCGACCTCCTTCAGCGCTGTGGCCAGCAGTAGCAGCGATTCCTCCTCCAGCTGCCCCAAAAGGGTCTCAACATCACCCCCCTCCTCCTCCGCCACCACCGCGCGAAGGTGGAGCACCGCCTGGGTAGCCGCGTGGAACTCTTCCGCATCTGTTCTTCCTTCCTCCTCCCCCTCCTCCCCCTCCTCCCCCTCCTCCTCCTCCTCTGCTTCATCATCCTCATCCTCATCCACCTCACCCTCACCCTCCTCTTCCTCACCCCCCCTTCCCGGCGCCTCCAACGAGAGCTCCTCCTCTTCGCTATAGCCCCTCACATAGTCCGTCAAGAGCACAGCGCGGTACGCATCTCCGGCAGCGAGGTCGGGGTATTTCTGCGCGAGGTATGCGCGAGCGCGCTCGAGGTAGAGCGTGGGATCGTACGCGCCCGTGCCGTAGGCTAGCTGTTTGGTGAGCTCGGCGAGAGCATTCTTCGAGGTGGGGGAGGGTGCGGACGAGATGACGGTCATGGCGGGGTTGGCTGCTGTGTGCACTCTGGACTCTGGAGGGATAGTGTAGGAGAGAATTAGATGCGGATCGGTTCGTGGAACGTGAGATTACTTCGAGCGCTAAGTAGTGCCGTGCGACCAGGCTTTATGTAGAGTAGAGTAACTACACACATGGGACTGCGCTGCCAGACTCCATTCAAGCTTGAGTGGCCATTCTCTCCCGGTGGGCTGGATTCTTGGAATGCTATCAACTCTTATTCTATCCCACTCCGTCTGATGGACTCGAATCATTTTTTTCGTATGGTAGAGTATTAATTGCTCGCGCGACCCGAGTAAGTAAAAAAGCATCTGGATCATGGCAACACTGTACAGGTATGCATACGTACACCGACTCCCATCCACCGTCCAACCCGCCCTCGACCAGTACGCAACGGCTCCCGAGTCCCCAGTCCCCAGTCCCCGTGGCCTCCGCCCTACCTAGTCATTTCCAAAGAAGCTATGTAGGAAAAGCCAGTATCAACTCCCGAGCCCCCATTCCGCCTCGGCCGCTGTCGCCTCCCCTCATCAGGAGGAGTCATGGATGGGTGTGTGAGAACCCTCGAATCCAGGACTTCCGCCTCTCCAGCCTGCGGTTCGTCCGCTCAAAGCTCCAATCTCGCAGCGCTCACTGCCCCTTGGCTCGCCATTAAGCACCCCGCACCCCGCACGCCGAGTGATACACTATGCAACCGCAACCAATGGCTCCATCGTGATTCGTGAAGCAGCACTTACTGTCCTCTACTCTAAAGAATCTGTGGCTTGGGAGAGCGGGCTTGGAATCGGTTGTGGAGGTGGAGGTGGAGGTGGAGGTGGAGTACCTATCCCGCAAGACGATAGAGAAGGTACATAGGTAGTGCTTGCGGGGTTTGGGGCACACATGAGCACAATATGATATTGTAGACACCGATGTAGGTAGAGTATCGAGCGGCGATGTAGTGGAATGTATAGTAGAATGTATAGTAGGAATACGGTACGTGTTATGCTTTTGCTAGATCGCTAGTTCGTACTCGTCGAATACATGTGCTGTCACTCGTTCAACGAGCGATCTCTCACGAGTCAAGCTTCAGTATTTAATTCTTCGTCCTTCCCATCCTTCTTTCCTATCCTTCTCTCCCACCATCTCTCCTCCCATCTCTCTCACCATCTCCTCTTCTCATCTCACGAGCTCACCACCTGCGACCCACAACATATTCAATCTTCTGCAATGTTCGAATTGAAATCGAACCAACTCACCCACTCGCTACAGTAAGCCACCCGATTATATAATCCTTCTTCTCAAATTGTGTTGACACATACCTCTGGAAAATCAAGAGAAAATGTCTCTAAGAACCAGAAGCGCTACACGACCTAGAAGAAGCTCAACAATCGCGGCAAAGGCTACCGTCAAGAAGACCGCCGAGAAGAAGAAGAAGAAGAAGAAGAAGAAGAAGAAGAAGAAGAAGAAGAAGAAGAAGAAGAAGAAGGCTGCCGCAAAGCCCAAGGGCATTAGCAAGCGCGCGCCTTCGCCCCCGCTCCCCCGCCTCCTCCGGCCGCAGCCTTCGTCCCCGCTCCCACCCGGCACCACCAGGTGCACGGTAGAGTACACCTGGCTTTCGGCAAGAACAGCTAGTATAGTAAAGCTGTCGCAGCCACGGCAGAGACCCATTCCAGGGTAAACGGAAAAGCGAGACAATAACAACCTGCAGCTATCAAGGACACCTCTGCATGCGCAGGCGGCGTACGACAGTGAAACGATGATCAGGCAAGTATGCATAGAAAAGATAATTGCGAGCTAGAAGAAGAAAGAAAAGACCATGACTAGGGAAAGGGTATTGATTGACGAAAAGACCATGGATGGGGTAATGGTGGTGGGCAAGGCAAAGACGGTGGACAAGGCAAAGGCGGTGGACAGGGCAAAGGCGGTGGACAGGGCAAAGGCGGTGGACAGGGCAAAGGCGGTGGACAGGGCAAAGGCGGTGGACAGGGCAAAGGCAGCCGATGACTCGGCCATCTCCGCACTCAAGTCGAGCCTGGTGGTGTGCCGTGGTGTGCCGTAGTGCACACAGAGGTGTCTAGTAAGCTGCAACGCCACGGGTTCCGCAACGAGGTTTTCCATCGGGTTGAGATGCCCGGTGAGATGCCCGGCGGCATCAAGATGCACATAGAGGTCCCGGACACCTTAGGCTTCCTAGAGTAGCCGTTGGCCCGATGAGCTGAGGTGTCGCGCCCCCCGGGGGGCTTTACGTGGGAGGGTTACGTGGGAGAGTGGGAGAGTGGGAGAGGAAAGGGCGCGCGGCCGAGCTGCTTCGCTGCTTTGCGAGGTTACAACGACGATTAAGTAACGGTATGCCGGAGCTGGAGGGGAGGGGGGGGGGGGGGTGCGGTGGGTGGAGCTGGGGGTGGGGTCGTCTTTTTTTTTCTGTTTTTTTCTTCTTTTCTTCTTTTTCTTCTTTTCCAATCATAATCTTCAAAATAAACGATCAACCACTACCTTCTCTTTCTCCTCTTTTCCCACGTATGTTCTCCATCTCTCGACCAACCACCTTCCAGCCCGAAGGCTGCAGAGGCATTAGCGAATTACGAGCCCTCGCAAATGCCAAAAACGGCGAGGCAGCTTTTCGTCCACTGGCTGGCTGGCTGGCTGGCTGGCTGGTGCAGCAGTTTCCTGTCCCGTCTTCAGCTGGCAGGATCTTGAGGCCTGGCTGGACCATCTACTCTACTTTGCGAACGGCAAGGTCATCGGCTGCGGCATAGCTTGGCCTAGGTATCCGTCAGCCTTCTCGATTTATTTCCAGCAACGCCTTTGCGTGGCCACTGGCCGGACCGCAGAGTGCCGAGTGACCTACAGTGACCTACAGTGACCCCGTAACCCCGTAATAGGGCCCACGCAACGAATGGCGACCAGAGTGGAGCAGCAGCTACAGTGAAGCAGCATCTAGGGATCTGTGGCTGGAAGAGCAGGCTGGAAGAAGAAGTACATGCATCTTACCTGCTAGGCACCTAATGTATGTATGCCTAAGTCCCAAGGCTAGACCGCATAGCTATTACGCATGGCCAGACTGGATGGCCACCTATTATGGATCGCTATGGACACTTGACACTTGTTTCCCCATTCACCCTGCACGTATCTACCGAAACACAAGCCTAGAAAGGAACAGTCACGAGTGAGCTTGGAAGAACAATCACCGCCCAAAGCCAAAGCCAGCCAGACGTCGGCCGGCCGCAACCTGCAGATTCAGATTCACATTCACATCCCCATTCCCATTCCCATTCCCATTCCCATTCCCATCCCCATCCAGACTCGTCACTGCATGGCCAGTATGGCTACATAATATACCAATTGTGTATTATCGCTCAGTGATCGCTGTGAATGCTTATGTATTTCTCCATTCACCCCGCCCCCAGCACACCTACACCAGCACCTGCACATATATTTCTCTCCACCTCCGCCCACCTTGCTCACTCACACCCCATATCACCCATCACACCCCATCATCAAGCAGCTAAAAACTAACATTATTTTACATCGTCCCCCATAGCCCCATCCCCCCCCCCCCCCCCCCTCTGCAGTCAAACGAACGTTAAAGATAGAGTAAGTATGCTCGCAGCTCCGCTCAGCGCTCGCAGCCAGCAGCAGCCCGTAGCAGCCTATAGGCTGTAGGCTGTAGGTATATGCTATGTGTAGAAAGATCGAAAGATCGCGAAGAAAAAACGAGAGATATGTATAAAAAAAACGCCCGTCTGTCCACTCAAGTCAAGCCAAGTCCAAGCAGAAAAAAGCACACCTCTAACTACCAATACCAGTAACAAGTACATACCTAATCAATATAAACCTCAGTAAAAAGAGTCGAGTCCAGTAACAAACGCTGAAAAGCAACAACCAACAACCAAATCATGCTCCGAAACACCAAGGAAGAAAAGATTCCCAACATCCTATCCTCCAAACGCAGCAATCAAAAGAAAAAGAAACGCCTTGAACAGATCGGCTCCAAACGACAAACGACAATCGGCCAATCGACAAACGACAGACCAAGCTTATGTCCTGTGTTTATGTCCCCCCTGCCTCACCTCCACCACCGTCTCCTTCCTTGTCTCCACCACCTTCTCCACTAGCAACGTCTCCTTCCTCGTCTCCACTTGCACCTCCACCTGCTTCCCTTTCCCCACCCCCTTCCCCTTATCCTTCTCTTCCCCCTCTTCTTTCCCCTCCCTCTCCCCCTTATCCTTCCCCTCTTCTTTATCTTCCCCCTTCCCCACCCCCACCTCCTCCCCCTCCCCCTCTTTCTCCTCCTCCTCCCCCTCCTTCCCCTTATCTTGCTCCTTCAACCCCTCACAAAGCGTCTTCTCCAACCCCCTAAAATTAACCGGCTTAACCATGAACGAATCAACACCCGCAGAGAAAGCCTCTCTCTGATCGCTAGCCGTATCCAGTCCCGTAAGCGCAACAATAAAGCTTCTCTTCTGCTTCTTCGCCGTCTTCGCCTCCTCGTCCGTCTGCTGCTGCTGCTCGGCTAAGTACCGTCGAATCTCGCGCGTGGACTCGATGCCGGACATGATTGGCATTTCTATTTGTTGTTAGTCGTTGCTCAGTAGTGGGGAGGGGGGGAAAGGGGGGGGGGGGGGACAAACGCAGGTCCATCAGGATAATATCGTAGCCGCCGTCCTTCGCCTTGACCTTTTCGAGGGCCTCGAGGCCATCGACGGCGGTATCGAATGGGTAGCCGTTCTTGCGCAGGAACGTGACGAGGAGCATGAGGTTGATCCTGTTATCCTCGACCGCGAGGACGCTCGGTTTCGTTGGTGCGGGTGCGGGTGTGGTGTCTGCAGTGGTTGCGGTGGTGATGGTGGTGGTGGTGGTGGTGGGGAGGGTGAGAGTTCCCGTCGTCGTCGACGGCAGCGCAGGCGTGCGCTTCAGCGGGGGAAGCGCGATGCGCCCGGATACCGAGCCGATGGAGGACGACGAGGACGAGGTGTCGCTGGCGGCGTTGCGGCGCGGCGCCTGCCAGCGCGTGACCTTGGTGCCGAAGAAGCTGTCGATGGCGGTAGCGGAGGGCGGGGTCGACGGGGCGTTGCTGGACGAGACGGAGGCGGACTCAGACTCGTTGGCGACGTCGTCGTCCTCCTCGTCGCTGTAGGCTGAGAACTCCTCGTTCGCGGTGTCGTACTCTGAGCTATTATCCTGCCGCCGCATCTCGTCGAGGCAGAAGGCGAGGGCGCGCGCGAACTTCTTTGGGCCGCACGGCTTGCGCACGAAGGTCGAGACGCGGCCGGCGAAGCGCGAGGCGCCGCCATCGACGGGCGGGTGGCTGCAGAGGACTATGACGGGTGCGTTGCCGGCGCCGAGCTCGCGCAGCACGTCGTCCTCGCCCTCGCCCTCGTTCGCGATGATGATGTCCACGTCGTCGAGACTGCGCGACTCGTCGTCGTGGATCTTCATGCCGAAATGCACCGTGACGTACCGCTCGATCGAGTTGCGCAGGAAGTTGGCCGCGTCCGCCATCGGACACGGCGCTTGCGTCCGCAGGAACGTCTGGAAGCCCACCATGCGGATCTTCATTCCCGCCGCGAGACTGCGCACGTCGAGCGCATCGTCGACGCGCTCCGACGGGCTGAGGTTCAGCGTGAGCGGAACCACCCGGTGGATCAGAGGTACCGACACCGTCACCTTCGTGCCCTTACCGACTTGGCTCTTGACGTCGATCTTGCCGTCCATCACGTCGATGATCTGGCGCACAATGCTCATTCCCAGGCCCGCACCCGCAGCGAGCGGATTCTGCTGGCTGAACGGGGTGAACAACTTGGTCTTGAGGAACTCCCTGCTGATTCCCTTTCCGGAGTCGGAGACGGACAGTTTCACCATCGCGCGCTTGTTCCCCTGTGCGTCTGGCGCCATGTCCTCGGCGCGCAGCCGCACACGGACCCAGCCAGACTCGGTGTACTTCATGGCGTTGCCCGCGATGTTGTTGATGACCCGCTTCAGCGCCGCCGGATGCGCATAGAACACCCATCCGTCGTCGCGGTGGTCGATATCGATGATGACTGTGATCTGGCTCCCATCCTCTCTCGACACGATACCCGACAGCGGCGGGTCACCTGCGGCGCGCGCAGTGGACTGTTGAAACTCGGAGCCCAGACACACGCCCTCGACGATATCCTGCACGAGGCCGGATAGATCGATGTCGGACTTCTGGTTGTTGACCGTCTTCTCGATCTGAACTCGATCGTCGTTATCGTCCAGATGCGCGATGCTACGCCGGGCTAGACGGATATCCTTCTCCAGAAGGGAATTGAGCTTCTGGAAGTCGAGGACGTGGTTGATGGTGTCGAGTAGCGTTGTGCCGCAGGACACTATCGTTTCCACGAACGACCGTTGATACGGATCGACATTGCTCTCGGCTAGGAACTGGGCGCTGGCCAGGATTCCATGGAGAGGACTGCGGAGCTCGTGCGAGATGCTGGAAATAAACTCGCCCTTTGCTTTGTCGGCTGCGAGATACCCGCATCAGTATATAACATTCGAGCCACAAAATGCATGGAGAAAAAAACACACCATTGAAGATAGTCAACCTCGTAGATTCCGCCATGATACAGTTCGCGACGGCAGTGACAAAGCTCCCCTCGACATCACCGCTGAAAGTCTTCGTCGCACTAGTAGTCCAAGCAAAACAGACGGCAAACAATTTATGGTTCGGATCGAACAGGGGCACGAGGATGATACTCTTGGCACCTGGCAGAAACCGCTGTAGGATGGAGTCCGTCTGCGTATCGTCCGCCTTCTGACTGCGGACTTCGCGCCTCCACTCCTCGCTGTCGTCGACCAGCGCCACGATCCGCCCCTGCTCATTCTCCTCCACGAGCTTGTTCAGTATCTCCTCGTTGAGCTCCGCCACGTCGAAGCCGAGGTCCTCGATGTTGTGGGAGCCGCCAGAATCGTTCGAGGAGCCGTTCGACGTTGCGTAGCCCAGGATGCCGCTGCGCCGCCGACACGCCCGGGGGCGCTCCGCGCGCGTCGCCTGCTCCGCTTCCTTGTCCGTCGAGATATGCGCCAGCCCGCAGCTGTTGGGCTTGTCGCACGCCTCGGGCCCGAAGAAGCCCTCAAGGTCGCCGTCCAGGAATACTACGTCGGCGTCGATCGAGCTGCGGATCAGCGTCGCGGCTCGGTAGAACATGGAGCGGAACTGCGGCTCGAACGACGACGTCTTTTCGTACGCGGACTGGCGGCGGCAGGCTTGCTCCGATGAGCCCGAACATGACTGCGCTGATGAGCATGCGCCGTCGAAGTAGTGGCTGCCCTCTAGCTTGCCGTTGAAGTACGACGACGACGACGTCGATGCGGGCGGGGTCAGCAGCGTGTCAGATTGTCGGTATGCCGAGTGGGTTTCCGGGGACGGCGAAGGCAGCGGCCGCGGCATCGTCGAGGGAAACGTCATCGTGTCCATCAGGGACAGTTCCGTGACGTGCTCGGTGTTGGATGGGTTCATGCACAGCAATGGGTACTGCGGTATGCGTTTGCCAGCATCGTCCTTAGCACCGGTACCGGCGCCGGCAGCGACTGGCAGATTCGTAGTTCCCGACCGCTGGTGCGTGTCGACATCTGCATTCCGCTCGCGCATCATCTCGGCAAACTTCCGCTGCTGGAACATCAGTCGCTTGCGCTCGACCATCTTCTTCCTCTCGAGCTCCTTGAGTCTCCTCGCCTCGAGTTCCTTCCTTTCCAGCAGCCTGCCGTCCCGTCGCTCCGTCATCTCGATGCCCTCGCCGGGCAAGAACCCCTCGGCGATGAAGCGCGACAGCCCCATCTCCATAGCCCTGCTCTTCTGCAGATCCTTCTTCCCCTGCTTCGTTTCCAGGTAGTTCATGACGATATCGCTCATGCCCGACAGCGTGATCTTCTGGTCCTCGGTCAGCCCGTCCGGCTTCGGGTGCTCGTCGAACACGCACAGCGTTCCGATCGAGACGCCGTTCGGCGTGCGCAGCGGCGCGGCACAGTAGTAGCGCTTGTGCGGCCAGCCGGTGACGAACGGGGCATCGCGGTACACGGGATGTTCCGCGAGATCGTTGACCTCGTAGATAAACTCCTGGTCCGCGTCGGGCGAGGGGATCAGGCCGATCGTCAGCTCGCACAGCGTGCCGCCGCTCGGCATCACGGTGCCGCAGCCGAGCCACAGCTGGTCGCCGGGATCGTGCGTGTGCGGCGAGTTCAGCGACAGGCTCTGCGTGGACTCGGCGATGAGGTAGGATTTGCTCGCGCTGGCCACGGTGATCATTGCGCGGCGGCAGTTGAGGATGCGTGCGGTCAGGTTCGTGAAGCATACCAGCACGGGGTCGTACGAGGCGACGGAGGTGAGCGGCGAGGACTCGGGCAGCGGGCCCAGCGCGCTGGTTCGAGGCGCCTCGGCCGTCGGTGTGTCTACATCGGGCCGGAAATATCTGTGTGGGGCGGGGAACAAATCGAGTTCGCGCCAGTAAGCCAACCATTCGTTGCACTGCCGTTTGGGGGGGGAAGGACCACGAAGAAATCCCGCCACCGCGAAACACAAAAGACGTGTGCGAGGCTTTCTCACTTGAATACCTCACGAATCCGCAGCGAGCGATGCGAGTCTCCCAGATAGCCCTCCTCCGGCGATGATGACGGGAACGGCGGTGACATGGCCACGGCAACCAGTGTGTTGCGTTCTCGAAGTTGAGGTCGCCAGTTCTGCTACGCACCGATTGTGTCGTCTCGTGCGAGTTTTTTTTGCCGTGTGTCGTGTATAGTATCCGCTCCAGTACGGTCTGTTTTTCCGCTCCGGTGTGTTTTTCGGGAGGTGGATCGTTTAAAGCGATCTACGGCACGGGCGACAGATGAGGCGAGACGGAGTGTCGGAGGGGTTGTCAGACGGGGTGCAGCAGGAGCCGTGTGTTGTAGTGCCGTGCGGTGGTGCTGGGGGGTGGTGGTGGTGGTGGTGGTGGACAGTCGATCCGGGTTACTCGAGGAGTTCCTTTCTCGGGGCAGTAAGTGTGTAGTATGTAACCGCAGACGTGTGAAGATGCTTGGTATGCTGTGTATAGTATGGAGGATGGGAGGCGCGTGTGGGTGTGTGTGATCTATGTGTGGTGTGTTGCTGGCTGGCTGGAGAGACAGAAGGAGAAGAGAAGAAAGAGAGGTTTTCCGTGATCGTCCCGCCACCTCGATCGATATTCGTTCACTACGGCAGAGCACTCTACTTTCTATGCACGGTCCGCAAAACCGGATGTCATCCCCAGGATTGTGGCTTTTCCTTCGCAGCAGCAGCGAGCGAGTAACTATTCTGCTATGTACCCGCCGTTCGTCGCCCTACCCTGATGATGGAGTGCAATGCAGCACCCAGAGCATGTAATTCGGGGGTGGAGTGGTGGCTGTCATGGATGAGCGAGCGATCCCTCCCTCCCCACCACTGGAACGGCGGAGAGTTCTCCTCCCCGCGCGCGCCCCCTCGCCCTTCCCGTCCGGTAACACTCACACAAATACGAAGGGGACAACCAAGTGCTCTAGACGGACGGACGGATCGCCAAACAGACCCAACACGGGGGGGCGAACCACCTGAACCGCCTGAACCACACGAACCACACGAACCACCTCCATCGTCCAAAGTCCACAGAACGAACCGGCCGGCCACCAAAACAGAGTAGATGGAGTGCAGTCGAATTCTGCATGGCGTAGCCAGTACCGCATCGAGCCAAGGCAGCCAGGAAGCCAGGAAGCCAGCCAGAAGAGAGACATCCATCTCGCTCGTTGGCCGTGCGTTCGTACTCCATGTAGGTGAGCACCGTGGTGCAAAGTCCACCTGGAACTTAAACCCGTCTCCGGGTGTCTTGGTTGCAGCGAACCACAACTATGCCTGGACCATCATGGGGCTAGTCAATTAGAGGAGCAATCTCGGATGCTCTCCACTCTCCTCATGGTGGTGGTGTGAAGACTTTGATGTTTGCGCCTTCGGAGAAAGCCGCAGCCCAGGGCGGATCTTGCACTTTCGTCGGACCCGCAGCCCCAGCAGGGCACTTCTATCATACACAGCATATGTGGAATCCAGATTCTATGGATGTATGCGCGGTCTGCGGTTCGCTCTGCGGTCTGCGGTCTGCGGTCTGCGGTCTGCGGTCTGCGGTCTGCGGTCTGCGGTCTGCGGTCTGCGGTTCGCTCTGCGCTCTGCGGTCGCAGTCCAGAAACAAATAAATCCGATCTTGCATGCCATCCACCCCTCCCACCACCCACCACCCTTAACACCGGGCCCGGGTCTTTCTAATCGCAGGTCGTGCTCCCCCACCCCCGGCCAAGCCGAAGCGGAGCCAGGATAGGGCCCCCACACACCCACACACTCACTAGAGAGGACGGACAGTACTCGGAGACGGGTCCAAGTCGAATGCCAAGAGATTGGCGGCCTAGCGCTTGCTTGGAAACGGTCTAGCGCAACATATAAAGGCCTAGCGTGAGTGTTCTGTGACTCAGGTTAGTCAGCTTTGCGCGTTGAAGCTCTAACTTTATTTGTCGGGAAAAAAGAAAACCCATCAAAAAAAGAAACAACGAAAGAAAAAACAATTATCCCTAAACTCCTCTCCTAGCGCGTCTGGGCATTCGGGACCCGTCTCCGAGTACTGTCCGTCCTCTCTATATACTAATCCATGAAGACCGGCGAATCACAATCTGTTCTTGTTGCTCACCCTTTCGAATCGGAATAATTCACAGATGAACTAATCATGATATGTAAACAACTAGGCCAGAGTCGGTCGTGTCGTGTTTAAGCATCGTATGAGGTCGAGTCTCAACAAGAGAGACTGATAGATACAAGATAAACTACTCTACCTACACGGGCCACCTTTCTCTACTACTCTATGACATCGACGAAGGTGTAAGGGAGGGAGGGAGGGAGGGAGGGTGTCACGGATTTCAGCCACAGAATTGCAGCAGTGCAATGGTAGAATGGCAGGTAGCACTGCAGCACTGCTCTGCTCAGACCCTTCCCCCCTGATTCCCTGAGGAATTCCCGCAGGAAAGGAAAGGGGTGTGCATACGATATGAAGGCATGGTACCAGAGTAACCGACTCCTCCATCGGAAATCTTGCAGAGTTACACGAGGAAGCCCGTGCGGAGGAGCTTCTTTCGACGGCCGGGGACGAAGACGGCCCCGTTAAGCTCAAGAGCCACTCAACGAAGACATTCGCCTCCCCGGTTCGGTTCGCACGCAAGCTAACAAGCACAAGCAGCCGAAGTGCGGGCGGGGCGGGGTGGGCAAAGACATGTCCACTTGCCGCGCCGATGTTTACTATACTTTACCCCGGGTTTCCTTCAGGCTTCGGGGCGAGGCGAGGAGGTTCAGGTTCATCCGGATCAAGCCCCAGGTACTTTCCAAATAGGTAGAGTACCTCTACCGCACGGACTGCGGTAGTTGAGAGTCAAAAGCCATCGCCATCGCCGACGTTGAAGTGATGGGATTCGGGATCCAATCACACTCTGCGTCTGAGCATCAGCATCATCATCATCACATCCCCGCTCGAACACCTGCCCACACAACCAACCGGTACATACGGCCGCGGGCCGCTTTGACGGATACTCTTCCGAGATAGGTACTCTTCCGATACTTGGTTATGTACCTAGAGTACGTGCTGCTGGCCCCCAGAGTCCCCGACAATGCGGAGAAGGCGAGCCATATCAAGTATATACAGCACCTATGTACCTAGCCTTCGTCTCCGCCTCCTCCATCTCCATCTCCATCTCCGAGGAGTGTGTGGCCCACTCACCCACCGGTGATGGTTACAGTTACACGGTGCGCACTCTGCCGCCATGGCACAGAGCACACGCTTATCCAGGTTTACCGCATGCCTACCGCACTCTACCCACACATGCGTGCCCGTCTCTTGGCGATCGATCAAATGTCGCACATACACGCGGAAGCACCTTGATAGAGTACGCAAGCTGCCGAATGAACCTAAAAGACCGGCTATTAACCTGGCTACCTACTACCTAGACGCCCCGCGTGGTGGAGTGGTGGAGTGGATGTGGTGGAGGCGAAGCACTCCATGGCCGGCGATCGAAGCTCTGTACCTAGAAGGCTGAAGCTGAACGCACACGCCCTGCGTGGTGGAGGCGAAGCAATGATGTTCATCGCCGAGACGAGACGAGACGATGGTTGAGATGGCCAGGACGATGGCCGCGATCCTGAGAGCGTGCGAGAATCGATCGTATGCAGGATGTATGTAGAGTTCATACACGGGCCCTTTTCATGAGCTGCTGCTGCTTCTGCTGCAAGGTGAGATTCGGAACGAAAGATGAAAAACAAGAAGAAGAAGGAAAGAAACTCGAAAGAAACTCGATCGTTCAGCTCGTCGCCTCCTCGTCCTCGTCCTCGTCCTCCTGTCCGATGTCTATCACTTTCCTTCCTTCTTCTTCAAAAAGCAAACTGGAAACTGGAGTCTGACTCCAAGGAAGAAGAAGAAGAAGAAGAAGAAGAAGAAGAAGAAGAAGAAGAAGAAGAAGAAGAAGAAGACACATCGGTACGGATATATCCACATATCCACATATCCACATCCAGCAACCACAAGCAGCAATCACAAGCAGGATCCGCGCGATATAATTCCTTCTTCTTCGCCTCCGCTTCTCCTTCTCCTTCTTCTCCTACGCCTCCACCTTTGCCTCGCCGCCGCCGTCATCGTCGTCGTCCGATCATGCAATTGGGTTATTGGACCCTTACTCTATAGTAGAGTACCTACCCTTCAAAGTTCAGCCGGCACCTCTCGCCTCAAACCTTCCTTCCACATCCCATCGCTTCCCGTCGCTTCCCCGCCCCTCCCCCTCCCCCTCCCCAATGCCCCCCAATGCGCAGCGAAACATGCCGTTTCGAAAGAAAAAGTGTAGATCGTGTCTACGCATCGCGGGTGGCGAAAACTTATCATATCTAGTTATTGCCGCGATATAACTAGAGTATGTATAGTATAGGTTGTATAGGTTGTATAGGTACATCGCAACGCAACTGCCGGTGTCACGTTTGTAATTGCATGCGCAGAAACACCCCCACAGCCCCCAGATTCCCAGAATCGACCGTAGAATGGCCCAGACAAACAGCTGGACTGGCTGACCTGGCTGGCTGGCTGGCTGGCTGGCTGTTTCGAACTCTCGATCGGTTGAATTCAAGCCACTTAGTCAGCCGGTCAGCTGCGCTGTTTTTATGCCAGTGTTTATGGCAGTGGTAACTACAGCAGGGGCAGCCACCTCCAGATATGTAATCGCAGGTAGATATGCACACGCACACGCGTATGATATCAGCGTAGAAAGCTCCGCGCAGAAAGCTCGAGGCGCTGTTTATGTTTCTGTTTCTGTTTCTCTTTCTGTTTCGTCAGCTCCAGCCTCCAGCCCCCAACATCCAGTCTCCAACAGAAGTAATCAGCCACCGAACCGACAAGCGACGGCGGGCTGGCCAGTCGGTCGGTCGGTAGGTAGGTCGGGGAACACTGCGTACTCCATGTGTGTATGATAGTAGGTATATAGAGCAGTATTATGCGTGCACACATCTTACACGCCCGGATATATGTACGGATAGCATAATCGCATATATGTGGAGTATCTATGAGGCTTGAACAGACTTCCGAAACACCCTATCCACCCTATCCTTTTCCGATTGCCCGGTTCCAAACCTAGTATCTATAGAGACAGGTAAACACCATGCGGTATGTAGACACCCGTTTCGCTTCGCGGGCGGGCTGATGGCCGGGGCGAGGGCGAGCTACCTCTACTCTACTCCAGAGTAGGGAGTTCGTCGGTAAAGATCCATACCGTACTCTACATACCTCATATGTATTATGCATATAGGAATATGAGCCTTCATCTCCGAAGCCCATTTTTGGGAGGAAGTTGACGTGTGTGTGTGTGCGTGTGTGTGTGTGATCGCTCACTGCCGGTACTAGTACTCTACTCTATGCAATATGTATATGTATAATACTGACATCCGCCGGCTTGCTTACTCCCTTCGGCTTCGGCCGAAAGTTTAAAAATCCAAGTCCAAAGTGCCCCTATCTACATACACACTCGTATTCGCTGTGGCGCTTTGAGGCTCCGCAGAGCAGCGCTCCGTGGTAGGTAAGTATTCGGATCGTCATCCGTTCGCTGCGCAGAGATATGTACTGGTGTCCGACATATAGCAGAGTGATAACTACCTGGCAGTGGGCGAAGCCGGGTTTCGAGAAGATTTCCCGGTGAATAAAGCCGGGCGGATGGATCATGGTCTGCGATTCGGTACATACATACGGTATTGCGGTATTCAAGTTTGGTCCTGATGCACTGGAGTGGACTCGGAGTGGTGTACGCCATTCGCTAGAGGCATAATAATGGTGGTAATGGTCATTGACTCATTGGTGGTGGCGGGCGGTAACATGGTCGAGTGGTCGAGTGGTGATGGGCATCGAATTGAGGGCGACATGGTTGATGGGCATGGTGGATGGGCATGGTGAACCAAGAATTCAAAGCACCACCTCTCTCCACTCGAGAGTCCTCAGTCGACAAAGCCACACGCCATCATGACCTGTCACTCTACGCGTGCTCTTTCAACTTCGAGCCTTAATTATTAGTGCTTACAATTGTCGCCCCTTCCCCCCACTTTTTTTTCGCGCTATGCTTATACTTTACGCCTGCCAAACTGCTATATGTAACTAGCACAGTAGAACGGTACAATTGGACAGACAAGGAAGGAAGGAAGGAAGGAAGGGTCCCTCCCTCCTCCTTGCCTGCTACTCTAGTTCGTACCGTACCGCTGCCCTTGCAGACTCGCCATATCGCCCCCCTCGCAATCCCGCCCGAAAGTCACCCCGGACTACGCAGCACTATAACTAGTGACGCACGCCAAGCGCGGCGACGACAAAGCATGAATAATCATCCATCATCCATCATCCATCATCCATCGTCCATCATCCATCGTCGACCATCCACCATCCACCGGCCGCGGTCCGGCTTCCGAATGACGCATGGTTATTAGATACTCTAAAGCACGGGGCGGGCCCGGGTTTTTACGGTGCCGTGCCGCGCCGAAGCCGCGGAGTAACGGACCCACGGAGAGCGGAGAGCGGAGAGCGGAGAGCGTTTCGGCGGGTATGTAGGTAGGATGTAGGTATGATGCGGCGCCCGGATCCGCGTCGGCTGGCGGAATTGGCTGGGCACTGGGCACTGGGCACTGGGCACTGGGTACACAGTGGGTGCGCGCTCGCTCGCTCGGTTCCTTGCGTGCTGCGTGCTGCGTGCAGTACAACTGTAATCCGGCACATGCGGGCGGGCTCGATGGCGATGGCGATGGTACGATGGCACGATGGTTGGTGTGCTGTGTATGGTAGGTATCATAGCTACTCTACCTAGGGCGTCGCGATGGCTTTGTACCACGCTCCACCACCGATTCAGCGAATGAATGCTTGTGCACCAACGACTGCGGGAATGTCGCCTGAGAACAACATTGAACATTGTATCTATAGTATGAGGTAGGTAGCCGCCCACGCCGAGCACTGCACTGGCACCAGCGTTTTCGATCACACCCCGCTGCCGGACCGTACTAGATTGTATGCTCGCGGATAAGTACCGTACACTCCTACAATGTAGGTACGTGTCGACATCACCACGGTAGTTATGTCCGAGTGCTTCACAATACCTCGGTCGTGAAACACCCACCAGCCGCTCGTCTGCGATCGCCGGGTCTATGTACATACTTTGATAAGTTTCTTTACTGTGCTCGGAAACCAGGTACATAGCCGCTCGTGAAACAACAGTCCCTTTTGCGCTAGATAAAGCCGTGGTGCTGCGCGATGATGCTCTACCTACCGTACTACTGTAGCAGGTATGTATATACCATGTTCTTCACCAGCGGATATCCAGCCGTGGACGTTAGCCCACCCGCCTCGGCCCGGAAGCGTGAAGCCCACGTTCGGGGAGCGGGGGACGCCTCAGCATGACCAATCACTCCAGTCTCTGGCTTTGTGGTGTTCGAGTATGTAAGCATTCGGTGCGGTGGGAGCAGCCAGGACTACTACGTGGTAACTAAGCCCGATACGATTGCCCAGCAATCACATCACTGCTACATACTTGTTATACTCTAGACCGCTCCTGGTGTCGGGCTCTCTTTCCCGTTGGCCTGTGGGAATAGGTATGTAGACAGCCGTGTTGCGGATTCACCGCAGGTCACTCGGAACTCTGCAGTCTACGGATTGGATTGTCGTATCAAATCGTTGAGAGATTCGGTCGTGCTCTGGATCGGGCGTAGAGGCCGTCTCGCAGCAGCTGCGTTGGTGGTTGCCGAGGCATTAGGCTGGCAACGTGGTGCGGCAACGATCGTCGGCCGACTCATTGTGGCTGCGCCCGGTGCCGTTTAGAGAAGCGATTGTTGGAATATTTCGATTGTGTGGGCACATGTGATATGGTTACTTACTTCAAAGGGAGATCAAGTGACGAGTCAGTCACAAAATTGAGCCGTCTGGCGTGTGGCGTATGGAATAATTTTTAGGGTCCGCAAATTTACATGTGCTGTTAAAGAGCGAGTGATATATAATGTTTCAGTGCTACACCACCGTGAAGGTTGCTGGTTCCGGCCGACATAGAACTTCCGATGTTGACCCCACCGCTCGTAACGAAGAGGGTCCGGCAGGCCTCAAGATCCCGCCAGCTGAAGACAGGACAGGACACTGCATCACCAGCCAGCCAGCCAACATCTCCCCCATCGCACCCTCCTCCCGTTCCGCCACAACGCCGTTCTGCCACAACGCCGTACCGTCACTTAATCGTCGTCGTAACCTCGCAAAGCAGCGAAGCAGCGAGGCTGCGCGCCCTCTCCTCTCCCACTCCCCCACGTAACCCTCCCAGCCCCCTGGGGGGGGCGCGACACCTCAGCTCCTCGGGCCAACCGAGAATGCCCAAGGTGTCCGGGACCTCAATGTGCATCTTGATACCGGGCATCTCACCCCGACGGAAACCTCGTTTCGGAACGCGTAGCGTTGCAGTTTACCGGACGCCTCCGGGCACACCAAGGCACACCACGGCACACCACCAGGCTTGACTTGAGCGTGGAGATGAATGCGTTTTCGGCGCGGAGATGGTAGGTGTACCTGGTGGTGCCGGGGATGAAGGCTGGAGCAGGAAGGGGGGGGGGGGGGGGTCATCAATTTTATTTCGCATCTATGAGCCTTTGTAGACTACGGCGAACACCAACTACACAACCAACCCTACTCCGTCCGCGAGACTAGCTATGCGGCTCTCCCTATTGCCCTACTGGCCCCATCGGTGGTTACCACTCCTCCCCACCATCCTCCTCAACTCCTCCCACCTCCTCCTCCCAACGTTTCGGTTCGTCTTCCTCCCCAGAGGCAGATTCATCTCCTCTTCCTTCCCATTTTTTCTCCCTGGCCCTTCTTCCCACATCGGCCGCCTCCAGAAATTCCAGAACTGCTGCTGTGCACCTCCCATCCGCAAATAAATCTGCGATTCGAAAACGCTCTCGTCCACGCTTTGTTTGTATGTAGCCGGACTACTTTCCATAGTTGCTTTCTGTTGCTCCCGCCAGCCATGCGGTACACACTTTGAACAGATTTTCGCGTGATTGGGAGGCTCCAGGTACTTTGGAGCACCACCTGCACTAGTCATTCGATTGGCTTCCAATTCGTTTCAGATATGGTGCAGTAAGGGCTTGCACTGTCTTCAGCTGCCGCCTTGGGGGTGGCCTTCGCGGCGATTCGGGTGCTTCTTCGCGGCCGTGAGGCGCTTCTGGTTCTGGGCGCCATTGTCTCTTGATTTTCCAGGTGTGTTAACATAATTAGAGAAGAAGGTTTATCGATCGGGTGGCTTACTGTTGGAGTGGGCGAGTTGGTCCGATTTGAATTCGAAAATTGTAGAAGAGTGGATATTTTGTCGGTCGCGGGTGTTGAGGTCGTGAGATGAGATAAGATGGTGGAGTAGATGGTGGAGTAGATGGTGGAGAGATAGTGGAGAGATGATGGGAGAGAAGGATGGGAAGGACGGACAATTAAATAAAGTACTAGGTCAAAAGTTTTCGTACGATGGCCGTTTTACACCAAAAATGCCCATTTTTAAGTAACCAAGACCCACCCTTCACGTGGCGGAAAAAAATCGAGTCTTTCATAAAAGCTTTAATATCGCAAGTTGCATCACATATAAGAAGTCTGACGGGGTTTGCTTCGGATCGGTGGCGCATGGTGCGGTGTTGTGCACGGGTTGGAGAGTGATTTCGGATTTTGCATGGGGCCCCCATACAAAATGATTGCGTGACAACCAGTTTCAACACCAACTTCTCTCCCATACGGCATTACTCGACCACCACCAGTTAGAATTATGTGCCGATTTCAATCGAGGTTCTCAACTTGATTTAGAAGACTTTCTGATAGCCCACATATTTTTATACCACCTTATGGTTGCTGTATCTATGGCGGGAAATGACCTGCATCGGTGAAAGGGAAATCCGCTAAGCCACCCTATTTCGCATAAAATAATCCTCCTGGCGAGCTGAAAATCTTATTGAAGCTTTATTAGTATATATTCATGATATATGCCAATTATTGGTACTCTCTTAAGTGTGGTTGTTGTGTTATAGAGATATATGTCTGTGGGGTGGTGGCGCTTTTGGGGAGGTGTACGAAAACTTTTGACCTGGTATTTTACTTACGCGTGACTCATGAGAGCTCGCTCGTTGTACGAGTGACACTATATGCATTCGACGAGTACGAACTAAAACTATGTCAGTGTCTACAATTTTATATCATGCTCACGTGTGCCCAAAACCCTGCAAGCACTACACTATGTACTCTATGATATGCAGAGAAGACTGACTGCGTGGCACTCGTCTCCAGCTCTGTCACCTCATCGATCGGCATCCGCGGGCGCCTTGTGCCTTGCGCGCCTTGCGCAAGCGAAAGACGCGTGGGGGCAATCCCGGTATGTACTCTACGTCTACGCTCGAGATCGTCAAACACGGCGGCGGGGGAAACGTCTTCACTCCAACCACTATTGCGTGGTAATTGTAATAGAGATATCGATCAATACTCCTCGGCGAGACTTTTGTTTCTCGAGGCGAAACCCTTGGCGGGGAGAACTTAGAAGTATGGATTACCGCCAGAAACTCCTGTTTATGAAACAGTCTACCGGACCAGGGATGGGCTTCGATGTGTGCTCACTGCCCGGGGCCGGTCATGGAAGGGAGAGTATTGCTTGTGCTGTGCACTGTGATTCGTCATTTCCTTCTTCTGTTCGGGGGAGGGCATGAGTGGTGGCACCAATTGTTGAGACTCGAGCCATGGAAGAATCGGCCTCTTTCGTTCATTTACACGTCGATTCCGCTTCGGTTTTCTCTAGTATCTACATACCTGTTCGATTGGACTTCAGGCGTTTGAATTTTGACTGTAGCGAGGAGTACTCGGCAAGATCTTGAATTGACTCTTGAGGCTGCAGAGGAGCCGACGATGCACCCACGTAGTCCTAGGGAACGAGAGAGGAATAAGGGGGAGAAGAGAGCCCAGCGGTCAGGTGGGAGCAGGTGGTACTGAGGATCAGGCGTTGAGTCCGTCCTCATCATACCCGCCACGGTAATGTTCAAAAGCCATCTCGTCTTCTGTCTCGATGTAGCTCGATTCCGCGCGGTGACTCAGTCTCCACCCACCTTCCAATGATACCAAGAGACTTCGATGCCTTTGGGGATATCTCTACCGCTTTTATATTCCCGGCTTGAGTCTTGACTGTCTTAGATCCCGCCACTTCGGTTTCGGGATCCTCACGGGCACCTACTCTACATACCGGTATGGCTTGTGTTTGGCGGGTACATACAAGGTACGAGACCGATTTTGCACTCAGCTTACCCAGCCCCGTGGGTACATACATCTTGTAAGTTATTTCTCGGTGCCTCGGGACCCGGCCGGAGGTGGAACGACCGGGATGTATTACCCTCTACAGTTCTCTAGAGGGTGGAGGCCGGGGGGCGCCGCCGCAGCAGCAGTAGACTCGGGACGACAGTTTACATTTCATCTTAGTACCCTGCCTACAGCGCTTCTGTATTGGCCGGCCTCATTCCTCATTCCTCGTGGGTCGGGCTCCTTCTTGCCCGCAGGCTGCAGCTGTCAGCCCTGGGAAAGCCATCGCGCCCTCGAGCGGCTAGCCAACCGGAGAAACCCACCGATCCGGAGCCCGAGAGCGATACCATAGTCATCCTACACGCCTCGCAGCCGGCCATGTCCGTCTGACACTGTCGTCACAGCAACGAGTATGTAGCAGTCGGTCGCAGTGATCTTGAGGCCTCATACCGATATTTTTGAACAGGTCGCTCAGACTGAGGCTGTAGTACCGTAATCGCCTGACTACCGTAGCGGATTGCTTCCGCCAGCACGGTGCCGCGACTCGCAGTGTGAGATGTCACGATGAAGACATCGATATTCTGATCGCCGTACTCTACTCTACCTACTCTACTATGCACAGATGGTTATGGATGACCACCGCACCCACGCGCTCGGAGTTGCCACTCTCGCGGCCGCCGGTAGTACTGTACCACGCAGTGCCACGCAGTACAACCTCTATCTCGAACGGCAAACCCATCCCCATCCCCATCCCCATCCCGATTCCCCATGTCCATCCCAATCCCAATCCCAATCCTGGCATCACATCCGGCCCGAACGGGGGGCCGCAGGGGGGCGGGGCCACGGAGTTTCCACCCCCTCCCCCTGCCCTGTCGCACCGTGTGTAACGGCGCCAACCAGCCGGGATCAGATGGAATTTCCTGTTTCCCCTCAAAACTCCGGGGACCGGGGGCTCGAGGTGACACAGCTGTGAAACTCCGGACAATTCCGCCGGATAGAGTAGAGTAGAGTAGAGTACGGTAGCAAAGGCCAATTTGGGCCTTTTATTCCTTTCGTCGGTGCGAGCAGCGATAGAGAGAGAGGGCCGGGCGGAGACCGAATCTGCGGCCTGTGGTCGGGACAGCGGCAGAGACGGATGAGGCGATGTCACTGCCATGGTCCAATAAGGTCGAATGCAAAGAAGGGGATACATAAAACATGAAGTGACACCTAATCCCTGAGCCCGACCCGATCCCGTACAGATCTCCGCGTGCGTAACTAGGGAGGGAAGAACGGCAGTACGTCACAGCCACTCGTGTCCCAACGATCGTTGACTCCTTTCGGCACGCATCGCAGTGCAGTGCACTGCACTGCAGAGGCCGAGGCAAGAGCAGCGAAACTTGACATCTGATCTGACGGTAGGGTTGGTGATAGGAGGACTCAGGAGGTGACGGATGGCATCTGCAGTCGTGCGGACGAGAGTATATATCCCCCCATTACTCGGCCCAATAGCTGTACTGTAGATATCATACCTCAACAATACGGAAACCCAACAAACCACGAAGAGAGGAAAGAACCCCAACGCAAATGGACGAACTGACCAACAAGCTCGCCAACCTCGAGACCGAGGATGTCTCCAGCCGCGACAACTCCGTTCACTCAACCCCGTCGAAGACGGTACCCACGCCCTCGCCGATCCCGGGGCCGCCCGGGCTCCCCATCCTCGGGAACCTCACGGACCTCGACCCAGAGGTGCCATTGACGACGTTCATGCGGCTGGCGGACACGTACGGGCCGGTATTCTCACTGCAGCTCGGCGGCGGGCCGAAGCGGGTCTTCATCAACTCCGTCGAGCTGCTGGAGGAGGTGTGCGACGAGAAGCGCTTCGGCAAGATCGTGACCGGCGCGCTGGAGCAGCTGCGAAGCGGCGTGGGCGCAGGATTGTTCACTGCCCACACAGACGAGAAGGAGTGGGGTATCGCTCATAGGATCCTCATGCCCGCGTTTGGCCCGCTGGCTATCAGGGAGATGTTTGATGGTTTGTTGTTGTCCCCGTAAGCTGTGGACGGGGGAACGGAAGCTTATTGCAGGGTGTAGATATGCACGATATTGCCTCGCAGATGGTTATGAAGTGGGCGCGGTACGGCCCCGAGCACCGCATTCTGGCGACGGACGACTTCACGCGGCTGACGCTGGACACGCTATCGCTGTGCACCATGGGCTACCGGTTCAACTCGTTCTACACCAGCGATATGCACCCGTTCGTCGACGCCATGGTCGACTACCTCGTCGAGTCCGGACGGAGAGCGAACCGGCCCAAGCTGGCGAGCTTTCTCATGCGCGGGACGAACCAAAAGTACGCCGCCGATGTGAAGCTGATGCGCGATGTGGCCAGTGGCGTCGTCAAGACGAGGAGGGAGAATCCAACGCAGAAGAAGGACCTGCTGAATGCTATGATAAACGGAAGAGATCCGAAGACGGGCGAGGGGCTGGAAGATGAGTTGATTTATAGCCAAATGTAATCCATGCCCCTTCACATCTCTCGGTGTCATCACCATGCTGACGGCGACTCGCAGGATCACTTTCCTGATTGCCGGCCACGAAACCACATCAGGGCTATTATCCTTCGTCTTCTGCAACCTCCTGCAGCACAGCTCGGCCTACAGGGCCGCACAGAAGGAAGTCGACGACGTCTGCGGAAAAGGCCCGATCACAGCCGATCACCTGCCAAAGTTGAAATACATCTCAGCGGTCCTCCGTGAAACTCTGCGATTGAACCCCACCGCTCCACTATTCTCTACGACCCTGAATTCCAATCAGGACCAAGACTCGGCGACTCTCGGAAACGGCAGATATGCCCTCGAAAAGGGACAAGCCATCATTGCCGTGCTGCCGAATATCCACCGTGATCCGAAGGTGTACGGCGAAGACGCGGATGTGTTCAAGCCAGAAAGGGTATACATCTCCCACTGCTCCCCTGCAGTAGACTGCGCCATCACATCACTAACAGGTAGCAGATGCTCGACGAAGAATTCGAAAAACTCCCCGCGGCCGCCTGGAAGCCGTTCGGAAACGGCATGCGCGGCTGCATCGGCCGGCCCTTTGCGTGGCAGGAGTCCCTACTAGTAGTGGCCCTGCTCCTGCAGCACTTCAACTTCGCCCTCGACGATCCTAACTACAAGCTGCAGCTGAAGCAGACACTCACTATCAAGCCAAAAGACTTCTATATGCGCGCGACCCTTCGCGACGGCATCGACGCCACCAAGCTCGAAAGAACCATGGCCGGCAGCAGCGCCACAGCGACGACAGAGGGAATCGCGAAGCCCGGGGAGGAGAAGGCAGCGGCAGCGGCAGCAGACAAGGACAAGCCGGCGCGAAAACCAATGTCGATCTTCTACGGCTCCAACACGGGCACGTGCGAAGCACTGGCGCAACGGCTTTCGACCAGCGCCGCTTCGCACGGCTTTGATGCAGCGATAGCAACTATGGATTCCGCGAACGGGAAGCTGCCGAAGGACCGGCCTGTTGTGTTCATCACCGCATCGTACGAGGGGCAGCCGCCGGATAACGCGACACACTTCATGGAATGGCTGCAGTCCCTTACCGGGGATGAAGCGGCGGGGACGAGTTTCGCCGTGTTTGGGTGTGGCCACCGCGACTGGAGGTCGACGTACCAGCGCATCCCGACGCTGGTCGACGAGCTGCTGCTCGCTCGCGGCGCCACCAGGGTCACCCCGAAGGGAGAGGCCGATGCGTCCCAGGGGGACATCTTCACCGAGTTCGACAATTGGGAAGATGCACAGCTCTGGCCGACGGTCACGGAACGCTTCGGTGGAAAGCCTGTGGCAACTGACGAGGCTACTACGTCGACTGTCTTGGTCGAGATTTCGTTTAAGAAACGCTCATCTAACCTGCGTATGGATGTGCGGGAAGCTCGAGTGACCGCTGCACACTGCCTCACCGCTCCAGGAGAGCCAGAGAAACGTCACCTCGAGATTGAACTCCCGAGCGACATGCCCTACCGCGCAGGAGACTACCTTGCCATCCTCCCCGTCAACCCTCGGGAGACCATCAACCGCGTGATGAAGCGCTTCCAGCTGCCATGGGACGCACACCTGCACATCTCGTCCACCGCGCCCACCGTCCTGCCCACCGACAGCGAGATCTCAGCGCACGACATCCTCGCCACCTACGTGGAGCTCTCCCAGCCCGCGACCAAGAAAAACGTGCTCGCGCTCGCCGCCGCCGCAGACAGTGACCAACCCTCGATCAAGGCGTCACTCGAAGCCCTCGCCAGCACCTCCTTCCACGCCGAAATCACCCTGAAGCGCACCTCACCACTCGACCTCCTCGAGCGCTACCCCACACTCCTCTTCCCGCTCGGCGACTTCCTCAGCATGCTCCCGCCGATGCGCATGCGGCAATACAGCATCTCCTCCTCGCCGCTGACCAACCCGTCGCAGTGCACACTAACCTACAGCGTCCTCGACGCCGCCAGCAGCTCCTCCCCACCGCACCGCCACATCGGCGTAGCAACCACCTACCTCTCCACGCTCTCGCCGGGCAACGTCCTCCAAGTCTCCGTGCGCTCCTCCGCGCACTCCTTCCACCTGCCGCTGAACCTCGCCACGACGCCGATAGTAATGGTCTGCGCCGGCTCGGGTCTCGCGCCGTTCCGCGGGTTCGTGCAAGAGCGAGCGACGCAGCTTGCGGCGGGCCGGCAGCTCGCGCGCGCGCTGCTTTTTGTCGGCTGTAGGTACCACGATAGGGACAGACTGTATGCGGACGAGCTCAAGGAGTGGGAGAAGGCTGGTGCTATCGAGGTACACTATGCGTTCTCGAGAGAGCCCGAGTTGGCGGAGGGGTGTAAATATGTTCAGGATCGCATGCGGAAAGACGTGGACATGCTCATGGAGACGTGGGATGCGGGCGCGAAGGTGTTTGTGTGTGGTGGGGCAAGGGTAGGTGAAGAGGTCTCGAAGGTGTGTAAAGAAGCGTATAGGGAGAGAATGCGCGGGAAGGGAGAGGAGAAGACCGAGGACCAGGCGGAGGAGTGGTTCGCCGCGCTCAGGAATGAGAGGTTTGCTACGGATGTTTTTGATTAGCTTGGGGCCAGCGAACCATAGTCAGGTTTTGGAATGTCTTTAGCTGCAGAATGAAGTTAGGGTTCGACAGTACAGACTGTGTGCTTCCTGTGCATGTCGAGCGGGATATCGTTGAGGCAATGTGCTACACACACACAGTCGCCACACTGTGGCTGAACACAAGACGTTCACAGCGAAGCACTCACTGCCGAATCATGACTCCTTCGTTGACAGATCATTGCGTCTTCGAAGGTTCCCATCCGTATTGGCTCTGGACGCGAGTACTCAGCAGCCTCTTCTGTCGTGAATGTAATCCCAAAAGAAAGAAAGAGGGCACTTGCACATACCTACGTCACCAACGTCCGCCAACCAAATCTTACACACAATGTGCAATACCTACCGGTCGATGTGCACGCACGCTGTGAGTGGCTGCCACCGGTCATGAGAAGATGAGCGGTTGCGGTTGCGGTTGTGGTTGTGGTTGTAGATGTCGGTAGGTTGTGGAATGAACATGTTGTATGTAGGAGCTGGAAGGACTTGAAGGAGGCCGGAAGGAGGCGAGAACTCCGGCCACCTCGGCACTGCGACCCCACACTCGTAAATTTGGTTCGTTGTGGTGTGCATCTACTAGCGATCACTATCTACGATCAGATGCGGAGAGATTGAGCTGCGGAGAGCTTATACACATCCGAGCATTGCAGAAGCCGTTGGCCAAGGAGATATCATTCTTCTCTACGAGCTTCCCTTCGCATGCTGGCTGTAGGCTGCAGCATCGTCGTCGTTTTTGCAAGGTGAGGGGCCCCCATCTTAGCACGATGGTCGGTGGCAATCGAGCGGGGAGCGGGAAGGGGCAGCGGACATATGTACTGCGGTCCGCAATCTTTATTTGGAAGTCACTCGTGACTTGTCTCCTTACCTCTGATGTCGCGTCCCTGACGCCGTTTTGACGACGTCCGTGCGGATCGTGACGTCAATGCATACCGACAGGCTTGCTATATAAACGACGACGAGCCTGTCCGAATTCCTTCTCCCTCCCATCTGGAACCATACGCACTTTACACACAACGACTTTCTACATCATCATGCCTCGCGCCAAACATCCCACCGCCGCCCCCGCCGCCGCCGCTCCCGCTCCCCCTCCTGCGCACGAGGAAGCCGAAGCCGAAGCCGAAGACGCCACCAACTCTGGCTACGCCAGCACGTCGAGCTGTGGCGGCGGCAGCAGCTACGACATCACAACGCACGCGTTCGCGCTGCCCAGCGGGGCGAGCTGGGGCGATGCAAGTTGGGTGCGGATCCGGCACGATGACTTTCCGTTCTGGGACGAGGCGACGGGCGAGCCGCTGGCAAGGAATCAGCAGAACTTTCCGAATACCATCTGGGTCGACGCTAACGAGGAGGAGCGCGAGGAGGCGGAGTGGGCGGAGTGGGCGGAGAGGACGGAGTGGGTGAGGGAGAGGGATAGGGAGAGGGAGTGGGTCAAGGAGAGGGAGAAGGACGGTAAAAAGGGAAAGGGGAAGGGGAGGGGGAGGGGGCCCGGCGAGGGCGATGATGAGGATGAGGGTGAGGTGGTGGGCTTGGATGAGGGCATGGGCGAGGGCGAGGACGAGGAGGGGGAGGACGTCGAGAAGAACGATACAACCGCCCCGCCGCCGAAGAAACGAGCCAGGATCAAGAAAGAACCAGTCCAGAAGAAGAGCGCACCGAAGCCCAAGCCGGCGCTCAAATCAAAGCCGGTACCGAGGCCCAAGCCGCCGCCGAAATCAAAACCGGCGCCCAAGTCCAAGCCCAGCATTGCCGACAGTACGCCGAGGTCTGTTATTGCGAAGGGGAAAAGGGTGGCCGCCAAACCCAAGGCGGGAGAACCGGCGAAGGTGGCAACTTCGCAGTCGGTGGGTTAGTTTTGCGGATGTCCTGTTGCTGTATCATTGTAGTGCCCGACCTTGCTGTCCGTCCGGACTTTACTGTTTCTTCTGGACCTTGCGGTTTCTTGCAGGTTTTGCTGTTACTTTCGGACCTTACTATTACTTTCGGACCTCACTGTTGCTTTCTGACCTTGATCATTTCATACTTAGTATACTTTTCGCTTTGATGGACAGCATGTAAAGATGCATGAAGGTTTTCGAGTTGGGATTGAGCTAGGAGTGGCAGTTGTACCAAATTTAGGTCTTAGCATTTTGCGGAAGTGTATGAAAACTCCTTGTTTCAGCGAGACATCGCTCCATATTTTTCCACCCAGCTCACGTATTTCTCACGGCTCGACCTCATCTCGCCGTACGGCCACCGGCCCTTCTCGCTCATATCGACTCTGCACCCCTGCTCCATCCACATCTTGAACGTCTCGACCGCATCTTCGGGGAACCAATGCTGCCGTCCCTCCGCCTTCCTACACCTGCGTTCCATGTACTCGTACACCTCCTTTGCCGTCGTCTTCGCCCGCTCGTAGCAGCTCAGGTCCAAGTGCCTTTCCACGAATCCGGCGCCGACCTGGTACCGCCGCTCCTCGGGCACCCAGTACGGATTGGCAAAGAGCGCGGCTATGTCGGTGGCCCACGTAGGGTTCGTCGCGATCAGGCGCGGCGGGTGCGGGGTGAAGCCGTGAGGACGCAGGTGGGGGACGGGGCAGTCTGGTGCCGCCGCGGGAATGTGCGACGGGACGCAGTCACAGTTGCGGCTCCAGCGAGTAGTTCCGAGTGACCTATTCAGCCAGTCGACGCCGCGCGCGGGCACCGGGCGTGTGCTCCCGTCCGGAGACATCTCGATCGGCCCCGTGTCGAGGTAGCGCAGCGCGTATGGAAGGGCGCTCCCGAACGCCGCCAGCTCGATCGGCCCCGTGTCGTGGCGCAGCGCGCATTCAAGGGCCCAGCCGCCCCGGCTCACGGGCAGCGGCCGGTGGATCCGTCGCCGGCACTCGGCGAGCTTCGTGTACTCGAGCACGCCCGTGTACGTTTGTAGCTTCGCCTGCACCGTGGTGAGGTAGGCGGTGATCTGCGCACGCATCACGGTGAGAGTCGCGCCAGGTGATGGGAGTGATAGGAGGTGCAGGAGGTGGAGGAGCTGCCACTCTGGCGACGAGGGGTCCGCGGCGTGAGGCGAGTTCTGCACGTTCGTGAGAAATGCACGCTCCGGAACACAGCACGTCGACATGCAGTCACAGCTCGCGGTCGTCTCGGGCAGATAGTCCAGCAATACCCCTCTACGCCAGGAGTACACGGGATTACAGAAGTCGAACATGAGGATAGCGATCATCACCCTCGCCCGAAGCGGCAGTGCGTCTGGAGCCCATACGCAAGGGTTACCGTACATACCCTGCACATCGCCGGGTGCGAGTGATGCGCCGACGACAGCAAACGGCACACCCTCGCCCGCCAGCATCGCGGCGAAACCGACTTGTCTAGCGCCGGGAGCGCCCACAACCGTACCAAATGTGCGGTGCTTGCTGATCCGCCACATAGTTGGATCGTAGTCCTGCAACAGGACTATGTCGAGGTACTGCGCGGCCTGGGCGTAGTGTTCGCGGCTGCAGCGGAAGTTGATCTCGGCGAGGTCGGGCTGCAGGGTGGGAGGTCAGTCAAAGCGTCATACGGCCACGGAAACCACGCCTACATACCAGCAACTGGAATTCAGCCCTACCTAAGAGCGCGGGATTGACGAAATGCTCCAGCGGAATCCGATATCCGTCACCATCCTCGACCGCGTTGACGATGCTAACCTGCGTTGTCGTTAGGAAGCGGCCGATGCACGGTGGATCCGCAGTTGGACCCGCCGCGATGTCGTGGTCGTGGTCTTGTACCGCAGAGCGCGGGAAGGTGCGGTCGCAAGCCATTAGCGTCATCTTCAGTCGTTAGAGAGTCAATTTCTGTAGCAGTTGCAGCGTGCAGTGCGTGTGCTGTGGTGAAAGTCGAATCGGAATCGGATGTGGGAGCTGGTTGTTTATGTGCCGTGGTTTGCGAGGGTCCCGTTGAACGAAAGGATCGAACCCAACTTGGAGCATGAGGATGTGCCCTGGAGATTCAAGCCGAGTGAGCAGGATCACTTCAAAATGAATTAGGGCTTCGCAGCTTGGAAGGGTTTGGAAGCGATTGGGGGAAATGATGGTGGAGGACCAGGACATGATATATCACTCTCACCACAAAGGCACTAGTGTATTTTGTGACACTCTACATCACTCGCTCCATGACGGCACGTGTAAATTTGTGGTCCCTAAAAAAATTGTTCAATACGCCAGACGACTCAATTTCGTGACTGACTCAATAACCCTTAAAAGTATTTAATAGCTGCGAGACAGCTTCAGAGTTCCGAGTGGCCTACAGTGACCTCGCAACAGGGCCCACGCCACGAATGGCTTCCATCGTGAAGTATCTACGGAATCTGTAGCTTGGGGGTGCGGACTTGAAACCTGTTGGGGAGGTGGAGGTGGAGGTGGAGCACCTATCCCGCAAGACGATAGAGTACATAGTGATTGCGGGGTTTGGGGCACACATGAGCACGATATAATGTAGCCCCATCGAATGGCGCTGCAGTGACATATATTAGGAATACGGTACATGTTATGCTTGCACTGGATCGCTACTTCGTACTCGTCGAATCCATATGGTGTCACTCGTACAACGAGCGATCTCTCATGAGTCAAGCTTCAGTCTTCGTCCTTCCCATCGTTCTTTCCTATCCTTCTCTCCCACCATCTCTCCTACCATCTCTCTCACCATCTCCTCTTCTTAGCTCACGAGCTCACCACCTGCGACCAACAACATCTCTACACTTCAGCAAATTTCCGAAACTAAATCGAACTCAGCCACTCGCTTCAGTAAGTCACCCGATCGATATTCCATCTTCTCTAATTGTGTTGACACCTTTGGAAAATCAAGAGAAAATGGCTCCAAGAACCTGAAGCTCCACATGGCCGAGAAGAAGTCCAAGAATCGCGGCAAAGGCAACCGCCAATAAGACCGCCGAGAAGAAGAAGCCGGCGCCCAAGATGGCTGCCGCAAAGCCCAAGGGCATTATCGAGCGCGCCCCGAAGAAGCCTGCCCCCAAGAAGCCTGCCCCCAAGAAGCCTGCCGACAAAAAGTCGGCGCCCGCCGCAGTCCCCGCTCCCCTGCCGCCTCCCCCGCCGTCTTCGCCCTCACCCCGGCACCACCAGGTACACGTACCATCTCCCCGCCAATGACTCGGTCATCCATGCACTCAAGGAGTGCCCGGAGCCGTCGGGCAAGTTTGAACGCTACGCGTTCCGCAACGAGGTCTTCCGTCGGGTGAGATGCCCGGTGGCATCAAGATGCACATCGAGGTGCCCGGCACCTTGAGCTTCTTCAGTTGACCTGAGGAGCTGAGGTGTCGGGCCCTGGCTGGGAGACTTACGTCGGAGAGGAAAGGGTGCGCGGCATCGTCGCTTTGCATGTCTACAACTAAGTGACGGTTGGGGAGAGTGAGGAGAGCGAGAAGGAGGAGGAGGAGAAGCTGTCGCGGAGAGAAGAGGAATGGGTTGAGTAGTGGGCAGCAACGTTGGTGCGAACCAACGTTGGCGGGTATGGCGGGGTCGTCTTTTTTTTTCTTCTTTTTTTTTCTTCTTTTCTTTTTTCGATCATAATCTTCAAAATAAACGATCAACTACTATCTCCTCTTTCTCCTTTGTCTATTCTCTTCATCAAAATTCACGAGTATTAGGGGTTGAGGACAAGATTCCATGTAGTGGTGGCCGAGTATGTTCACGGAAAGACGTGAAAACCACGCCAATTTGTACTTCTGCATCGAAACTGGACTTTATACCAACATCAAAAAATGAAGTCAATGGATGAAGTGCTTCCCCAATACCTGGAGAAACTACCTATCTGACGAGTCAAAATCTTGCTGGTTAAATTTCGGTGGTGATCATGGGTCGCGGAAAGACAAGCATTTTTGAGGCGATTTCGGAACTCCAGCGCGCTACGATCCATAGGATACTACTTTTGCTCCATTAGGGCGGCGGACTTCCCGCCGCGTCACACACCGACGGCGGAGATGGGAAGCGCCTTTAGCCGCGACCGGTAGTTAGGGCGAGCCGAAGCTGGCGGCTGTGCGAAGCCCCGGCGGCGGCTGGGCCGTTGGGAGGCAGCCTTGGTGACACCGCGACTATTACTCTACATGGCTCCTGCGGTTTGCGCCGCTACTTAGCCAAGCAAAGACCCTCATTCCACCATGATGCTTATGGAGGGTCGGATTTACGGCCTTCAAACCGGCCATCTTCCGTTCCGGCCCGTTCGAAGGACATCCCCGGATACATAGTGTTGAATGGACCTGCGATAGGTACCATGTTAATCCGCATCCCCGATGTGAGAGGTCGACCCTCGGGCCGCCACGCAAGGATGCTCGTACATATATAAAGTACATAGGCACGCAGAGACTTGTCGAAATGAGCAGCCGATTCCGGCTCGGCCTCAGATCACATACATATGCATAGTAGGTACCTAGTTGGGGTCTGGCAGGGTGATATTCGTTTTGCGTACAGCGGCAACTTCCAGCCATCGTAGCTCACCGCCTGGATGATCTGTGCACACCTTAAATCGTTCACTCGAACTCCGTAAGGATCATGGGGCTTATGCCGAACAAAGCACGTCGAGATATGCTTGGCGAGTTCTTTTCCTACCTAGTGGCTCGATTCGATGTATGATAGTAGATATAGTACCCAGCACACCGTGGAAGCAACTGCCTCATCTCATGATCGGTCCATAGTAACGGTCTCGGAAGCCGCGTGGACTGCGGACCGTTGCCTTCCAGCCAAGATGGGTCGCACTGCGACAATGTGGATATGCGGTCCCGCCCAATCCATTCAGACTGGTACCAAACAGAGCATGCCAAGGCATCCACGGCTTTGTTTTGCTCCGAGTGCATGGCTGCGGTTCAATTCGTTGTTCTTTTTTCTTGGCTCAATATCCAGCCTTACGCGCCGTTGGAAGCCACATGGACCCGGTTTCTAGCCTATGTACTAGCACATACATGCAACGGTGCTCTCCTCACGCCCGGGACGAGACTCGGGAACTGCAGATTGCGCTGGGTCTCCACCGAATGGTATGATACGGCATGCACTGAGAATTTCGCCGACGACAGGGAGGTAGACGTGTTAGTGTGGGCCGGAAACTGCGGGTCCCGGAAGAGGGGGCATATGTACATAGGAGAATATATAAGAAAGGCGAGCATTAAAGGTACCTTTGCAGGCCCGTGCTCGGAGGAATAATCTAGAAGGCGGGCTGCTTGAAAGAGTAGGTATATACCTGGTACTATAGTTGGTACCGACGTGCATTTGGCCTAGGACTCGAGGCATGTGTCCGAAACGGCCCGCCTCGTGTGCAGGGAAAACTTATGACCGGGCTGAGACCATGACACTGGCGAACACCAAGGGGCTTTTGGCTCATCTTATGTAGGGGTTCCAGAGTTCGCCGACCCGCAGTTCATATGCATAAACCTTCCGCTTTGCTGTCTTCGAGCCGGGATACTGTAGTTACGGTAGCTTATAAACTGGAAAGTGGTCTAGGCGTAAAGAGCTCGCAAGGTACGTTCCGATTTCTCTGATACCCACCACGGCAAAGGAGTTTATCCCTCGCTTTTTTTCCCTCCCGATCTGCTGTTCGATTCGGAGTGGTCATATGTAGTGGTTCCATCGGCTGCCGTAGATCATATGATAACTAGAACCTGGCCGTTGAACGGCCCTCTTCACCAGCTATAGCGCCTCAGGTACTTCCGGAGATTACACACAAAAAAACCACGCATCATGCACCCATGCATAGTGTCACATAGGTAGGGTACCGTGGGTAAGACTTGACCCGGGGGCGCTCAGCCCTATGTACAGCACAATCTGTGTATGGTCCTGCAATATCTTGGCGTGGTTTCGCGGAACCAGTAGGCACCGGGTATACATCAATACCTATTATAGATATGTGCGCGGTAACTACTCCCTTGGCAGGTTCTGGAGGTGGATAAACACTGCATTTGCCGGTTCTGGGGGTAGTAACCGGCGGATAACTGAACATACGCGCAATCGCTGCATGTGGTATTGGAAGGAAAAGAGGCGCGGATTTGACAGGTAGCCCTAGAAAGGATCGTTGTACTCTACGTAAGATGGTCGTACTAACTACCGGTATTCGAGGGGCGGCGATGGCCGGCTGATCCTCGGTGCACGATGGCTACGACGTACTCCGAAAAGCCCGCAATCTCACCGAATCTCCGACTGGTTTATTTGCCAGCAGCTTGTCCCTACCATCTACCCAGGTAGTACCACCGATATCCACCCTCGAGCCGGATAATCTGCACACGCCAGACGCCAGCGATCGGCCATTAGGGGTAATCAAAGTGCGGTGGTTCGCTAGCTCGGTGACTTTTTAGCGTGCTGATTTTGGCCAATGAGGACGAGGGCACTGTGATTCCCTTAGTTGGGTTTGTCGGTGGGTTTGTCGGTGGGAGTGACCGTTGGCGGCGCGGCCACGAGTCTGTAGCGACGACATGCAAAAAGAAAATCTCCTCCGAATCGTCACTACCACCGAGTCGCTGTTTGGTTCTCAGATGTAATGCGTAATGTGCTTAGGCGTTGCAGTACCCGTGCTCTCTTCTGTGTACAAGGCATTGAGGCAGTACTACGGAGTATTTTGTACTGCGGGTTGGACAAAAGAGGAAGTCGTGACCATCTAGGCCGCCCAAAATACTAGCTGTGGTGGGCACGACTTTTGGTGTGTGGCGCCATTCGATTACACCCTCCCCTGTGGCGTTGTTTCGTACAGATCAGTGCAAAGGACAGAGCAGAGTTTTTTTTATACACACCGCCTGTAACGGCACGGTCGAGCAAGGCTCCAGGTAGCGAAGCCGGGCGGGGAATCGGATACTGGGTTCGGCAGAAGCAACATGGGTTCGGAGGACAAGGCAAGGCAGGGCTCAGTGCAGACGGGAACTGAGAACAGAGGCAGGGACAAGGACTACGGCGCAGACGGCAGCCGAGGTAAGGTCAGAGGTAACAGTGATTGAATTAACAAGTTGTTGCGTGAAGAACTAAATACAGAGGGGCAATGGCCCGTTTATATAGAAAATCCTCCACTTCTTCCCGCAACCTGACAGTGACCGTGGGCGTGTGCCAGACCCTGAGAAATCCACCTTGTCAGTACCCCGCTTCTGTGACTCATACCCTGCGCAGCCGCACTACCCCTGCTTCCTTCACACCGCCCCAATCCCCTGCGGCTCATTACTGCACTATCCCTGCTCCCTGCACACAGCCCCAAATCCTCTGCAGCTCATCCTTGCACTGCCGGTACACTGCCTCTCAACTCTCCCGATCCTTGCGCCGACCCTCCCTTCGTCATTCCGTCGCGAGCCGTGACAGTAATCCCTCCTAAGGCTCGAGTTCCCACGAGAGCAAGTTCGACTGGTTCAGGCTGCATGGGGTATCGTCGATGGAAGTCGTCCACAGCTTGTACCTCGGTAAGGTTCTCCTCTGGTTCCCACGTTGGTGCCGTGTAGCCCCTCTATTTCACCAGGTGTAATAAAGTACACTGGGAAAGTACTATACCACTTGACCAAAAGGTATTTTGATGGCTGAAGGCCATCATCCCAGTAGCTACTTAAGGCCAGGATTTCTGAACTGTGACACCAGGTACTGGAGTTTGCCCCTGAGGTTCCGGCTGTCGAGAACCTCTTCAACCTCCCATTCTTTTTGGTCGTCCACCATTACCGGAAGTGGTGGCGGTGGAATTTGTCCAGGGAAGGGATCGTCAGCGGAGGCATGAAGGAGGGATACAGGAAATGTTCGGTGCTTCTGAACGGTGTCTGGGATGTCCAATTCGTAGACATGGGTTTGGATTGTCCGAATCACGCGGTAGGGACCATGGTGTTTGTTTTCCAGCTTGCGACTGGGCCTCTCGGTGCGCCAGTTCCGACCATCCACCCATACCATGCCGCCTGGTTGGAAGGCTGGCGCACGGGTTCGGTGTCGGTCGGAGTCGTCCTGTTGCCGTGCCTGGGCGTACCGCATCTGGCTGCGGGCGACGCCGTAGGTTTGATGTAACCGTTCCGCTGCACTCTGAGCTTAATGTTCCTCCTTGTTGTCAACACGGATATCCAGCTCAAAGTCACACCGTGGGTGGTATTCTAGGTTAGCGAAGGATGGGGACAGGGTAGCCGTGTTGGAGACCTGGTTGTTGCCAGCGAATTCGACCAAGAACAAGTAGCCGGCCCAGTCATCCTGGAGGTAGCTGACGTACGCGCGGAGGGGCTGTTCCATGACGGCGTTCATACGTTCAGTTTGGCCGTCAGTCTAGGGGTGGAAGGCAGTCGACAGGCGTGGCTCGATCTTGAGACAGAGCATAAGTGCTTCCAGAATCTCGAGGCAAACTGGGGACCCCAATCCGAGACGATGGTTTCTGGCCACCCGTGGTACCTGAAGATCCGGTCTC